CCGCGAACACTGTGGTTTCTCCCACTCTCTGAGCATCGTCACCAGCCTCGTTACAACTCAAATTATCGAAGGGCGTGTGTGATGTGTCCGGGACGTGGGGGTTCCCACGAGGCGCGAGAAGCTTGGCTTCACCACCTTGTGCAAAGCAGAATAAGCCGGATGTGCAATTCTGTGCCTCCAGATCTCGAAGATGTTTTTGTTTGCTGTCAACTAGCTTGCGGTATCGGCGAAGCTGCTCCTGAGCGAAGCGTTCGACTAACTCCGAAGGTAGCCGGGGATTCAACGCGGTGATTTGGGATCTGAAACCATCAAGCGTTGGTACTGGTAGGCGTGACTGTACCGGAAACTGCATCACTAGACCTTTTTCGGTTGGCAAGTCATCATCTTCATCGTCAGCGTCGCAAGTGGCATGGCCTCCTTGAGGTGCCCCTTGCAGGTGGACACCGCTGCCGACCGCTCGAGGGGAGTATGCGAGGTTAGGAACAGGGGGCCCGCCATGACTCGTCATCAAATCGATCAATCCGGGTGACGACGCTCTTGGCAGCTCGCTTTTGCTTCGTCCCCGTCCTTTGAAAACCGGCCATGGGCTCAGCGTCGAATTTGGTGACGCAGCGTGCAGCGAATCCTTGCCTCCAATGGCGGCCATCTGGCCGGCAATCGCAATAACAGCACTGCTGGTGCTGAGGCTGGGAGACCTAGACCGAGCAAGACTTAATTTACGATTGGGAAAAATGTCTTTTCTCATAGAAGGGTCTGTCAATCCATCGACCTTGCCAGCAGTATCGGCGCTCGGAGGAATGATGGATAAATCTGACAGTCGTCTCTTGAGGTGGTGAGAGGGGTTGCGCGGAAGATACTTGCGGAGGCTGCTTCTTCTTTCATGCTTCCTAGCCTTATTATCACTGATAGTCAGATTCTCGAAGGAGCCGCCGGTGCCTATGATACTGTTGACCTCGGCATCTTTCAAGTGTCGCGTGCCCCATGTAGCCGCACGGGATGCACTGTCAAGATCTCTTGCTCGTCGTTGATATTCCATCATCGCTGCGCTGGAGCTTAACGGCTGCACCCTAGTTGGGCGAGGAGCTGGATCATAATCAATATCCTGCCACGGCGGCGCCTTCAAGAACTGATGAGGCAATGGGTCATCGTCTTCAAGTCTGTTCTGCTCGGTGCTAGGGACACCCTCTAGGCCTTCCCCAGTGCAATCTCTCTCATTTGCATCGGCTGCAGGCGAGTCAGATCGTCTTTCGTCACCAGATCGATACTCACTAAGCTCCTCATCACTGCTTTCGTGGAGAAGAAGACCAGGTCCAGGAACAACCGGCTCTAGGAACTGGGATTTCAGGTTGAAGTAGTCCTGCTGAAGAGAAGGATCACCGGCACTTTTCGCCCTGCGTCGAGCGCCAACATGCCGCTTCCGACCGCGGCCAAGGAGAATTTCCTCCTCTGCATCGCTATTCGCAGCACTGACCGAAGCCGACCATGACTGGATATCAGCATTCTTCTCTTCCAGTCGTCTCCAGGCTTCCAATTCGTTTGGACTGGATATGTAAACATCCGCTCGAGATGGCGGTTCGACACCAGCCTGGCCCGTGTCAGTGTTTGGAACCCAGGAGCCATCGTGTGTCCGAGATATGGGCGTATGGGCCGGGCTGAGGCCTTCGTTGCTAACCTCAAACTCTTCGAGCTCCGAGTCCGTGGTCATTCCGTTGGGTGCCAAGTGCGTGGACGACAAGCCCCGCCATCGCTCAGTCGGAGAAGCATCCCTGACTGGTGAATCTCCTCGGGAATAACTCTCGATCTTGACAATAGGGCTTCGTGCTCGGGCTGAGTCAGGTCCCACCTGTACACTCAAATTGTCACTTGGTGCGTTGGTGTTCAGCGAAAGAGGCTCTGGAGTGCGCGCCTCAATTTGATCGCCGGCTGTTTCTGAGGAAATGTTTGGGCTTCTCATGGCCATTGTTTGTGACGGCTCTGCTGCGCTTTGCGGAGCCGCAGCATGTAACACAGGTTCATGGCCCGGTATACTCCGCTCCACCCTGTTGCCATGTTGCCAGACACCAAGGCCCGTTTTCCCGTCCACAGTCAGACTGCTAGACATGAGATCTACGCTAGGGGATGTGTGCGCACTCAAATCGCTGGAAAAGTCGTCTGTTGGGCTCAGAAAGTCCGAGTAAGATGCCTCCGGGCCTTCGTTGATAATCTCAGGATCTTCAGTACAAGATTGTGCTAGCAGAGGCGAGGCAGAAAGTGCGGTGCCATGATCGTTCTCGTTGACCGGCGTTAATCTTATAGCGGACGACTTGAAGGAGGCTTCATCAGGGTCCACAGGAGCTGAGAGATAGGGATCGGAAAAATTGACGTCATGGAAACTCATTCCAGTGGGCGAGTCATCCTGAACAAGCTGAGGTGATAATGTAGACATGTTGGCGGTCATGATCGCCAAGGCAGACGAGTGTTCAATCGAGGAATCTTGATCCGCTGGGACGGGTGCTGATATCCGTTTCTTGGAAACACAGACAAGTCTTTCTGAAGAAGGGGGATTGAAGTAGCGTTGTCCCTGCTCTTCTGAGACTAGCATAAAATTAGAGAAATCGTACTGGACAGAGAGAGTCGGGTCGGATTGTCTTCGATGGCATGTCTATAGAACCATGACCCGGGCGGTGAGAATGCTAGAATGGAGTTAAAGAAGTTGTCGCAGGACAGTCTCCGTCCGAAAAACGCCACGAGAAAACCCCCGGGAAGGACCGAATCTAGCTGGAGGAAAATCAGCTTATGCTGTTGCTATCCGTGTGCCGAAGAGTAGCGAGCTAGCAGCAGAGAGTAGGAAGGCGTCAGGAACGCGGGCAGGAATCAGGATTCAATGGGCCAGCGATAATAATGGAATGGCGTGCGATCAGAGATCTGGAGCTCACCAAAGAACAGAGATGGCGAAAGAGAGGATGGAGAAGAAATTACAATCAGGAGGAAGTCAAGTGTGTAGGCAGATGGTCAGGGATATAGAATAGGTAGGATGCTTCAAAAGACCTGAATGAAAAAGAGAGAAGGGGGTGGGGGGGGAAGAAGTGGGAAGAAGGATAATATTGTATGGCGCTAATAAGGCCGAGTGACAAGCGGCTCTTTGCGAGGCGGGCGGACGAGCCACCAGAAAAAAAGAACCTCGACAGAAAAACAGCAACTGAGACTCGAGAAATAAAAGAAGGCGCAGTACTGAGGAGTATGAGCAGAGTGAGGGAAATGCCGTAAAAGCTAACGGGGGTAGATGTGGTAAGTAAACATGTTAAAGAGAAAAGAGAGTTGATGTCACGATCCTGCCGGGAAGTAACAGTAGGATCCGTAGATCAGAAGGGAAAATGTGCCTTGCACTCTGACTGAGCCACAATTCACTTCAAGGTGGAACACGTAAGAAAAGGGAAAAGGGGGATTTTCTAAGCCTCAAGGAGATATTAACTAGCCATAGTAGACTCTAGTCTAGTCAAGATAGCCAAGACAGTTGGTAAGTCGAGTACTAATTCACTTACCACCTAGTGCCTGGGTAGTACAGTAAGTACCATTGGGGCCAGTCAGCGAGAAGATTGGGCGAGGTTAGTATTGTATGTACATACTTCATAGTAATTTAAATTATAACAAAATGACCAATTCTTCATCTGGTCAAATCCTGACTATTCAACCACCTTGTGTCCTACTTCTTCCCTTCTTCGATACTAGATAGTACGGGGTTTGTTTCAAACCAATCTTTGAGATGAACCGTGGTTAGAGCGTGGGGGCACTGGGGGGGAAAAGGGAAATTCCAGGGCTTGTCTTCGGCCCCACTTGAAGAGGGTCCGTGGATTCTTCAGTCATCGCAAGGTGTTACAATAGATATGAGTTGAGTACTCATTGTTAGTTCATACTAGTGTGTGAATACTACGTAGTAGTGGTAGGTTAGATAGCGTCAACTTCAAAGTACTGACAGCCTAGTTAAGCCACTATTCCAGTACATACTGTACTACGACGGTTACTATCTTTGACTTCTTCCTTAACCATCATCAAAATTATCATTCTGATAGTACGTAGTGGACTCGGACCGACTCAGCCTCCTTCCAAGCCCCATTCCTCAGCCCTGTCAATCCTTCCCCCCAACCATTTACAGGAGGGGCTGCACAGAAGACCACATCAGTTATGGTCAACCAGGTACTCAGGACACTGACTCTTACATTGTAATACTTTGCTTTAGTCTTGCCTTGCCTAGTATCTCGTTTTCCCTGTTTACCAAGTCGTTGGGCTAATTTCATTCATCTTCACGGCAGCGCCCGGACTCGTGGGTTCAATTGACATCATGTCTGTGGCTGTGCTTAAAACACGATATCATTCCTCAAACCGGAGGCATAGGAAAATACATAGAAACATCCCTCGACAGACCTTTGCCAGCAATCTCACGCACAGAGCAGCCAAAACAAATTAAATGTACAAGAATCACAGGTGGAGGTGTTGACGTCTCTTGGAGACTCACCAGGGCAATGGATGGTACATGCCGTATCAGATCGACGGACAATCGCTTAACTCGCTCAATTGAAACAAGAGATTTCAATAAGAAACAACCACAACAACACGAGATACCAACACCAGTGAACACAGAATGATTACAGAGACAGGAAAAGAATAAAATCTTGCGCTCACAGCGTGGAAAGGATAGAGAGAATACATTGATGAGAAATGAGGTCAACGTAGAGTGAAAAAATCCTCCCTAATCGAGGAGCATCGTGAGGAGACATTGGTGTAAAGAAAGGAAACCCAGATCCTGTCAAATGAATGTAAGCGGAAGCTTAAAGGACTTCCGTAAGCTGCAGCACCATGCCTAATGATAACAAGCACAAGTATGCGGTGTAAAAGGATAGAAGAGTACACCCACGGAGAAGAATAGAAGTAGGAAGCAAGTCCAAGGGCGTCAATAATCGAACAAATATATTAGTTGTAACTCACCCCCCCCCCCCTCTGATGGCGTCCTGCGATCCGCGTGTTCATACTGTAATGTCCACGGGTGCGCCATTCATCTCATCCCTGCTTCCCTTGCTCTTTTTGGATGAAGGGACATCCCCATCACGGTGGATCGATTCACGCGAGCCACGGCGGGAAGATTCATCCCCACTAGCCAAGGCGTCCGTGGACTTCTTTGCCAGCTCTTGCAGCCGGGCCATTACCACGGGAGAATCGGAGTAGAGGACGCAACCCTGCGAGTAGGTGCAAGGTTGAGACTTCTCCTCTTCTCCGATAAAGTCCTCATGAGCTGCTTCGCGAGTGATTCGGGGAAAGGTTCTGAGGATGACATGACGTGTTGGGTCCTCCTTGGAGCTAAGAGTACCTTCCTTGGGAGTCCCATATTCCGCCCAATCGTCGTTGGGGACGATATCGGCGTCCGGCGCTGGCAGTGAAGCCAAAATGAGCTCTCGCTCAACCCGAGCCAGTCGCCAAGTTTCGGCTGCTAACTTAACGATCTTCCTTACGCCAACTAGAAGCACGTCCAAATTCCGGGGGTCTGCAAAGTGCTTAAGCTGATCAATGATCTCATCAACAATGACCGCAGCAACCACATTGATTGATTGCTTGGCATCCGATGTAGTGTAAGCTGCCTTCAGTGTTTGCTGTCTCCAGAACGCTTCGCGTCGCACGGATTTGCGTCGGATGTCCATCGAAAGCATCTGGAAGAAAGTGTCCGCCTTATCGTACCGTCGGCCAAGGGTAAAGAGGAAAGGGTGGAAGATCCGATAAGTCAATGTCTTAGACACGACATGTTGGACATAAGCGGAGCGTAGTTCACGCGAGGCCGAAGTGTTATCAAGGAACGATGGCAGCTCAGGTGGAAGCTTGGAGAGGATGTCCTTGGGAGGATCAATTGGGAGGTACGAGAAGTGCTCCTTAGACAGGGAGACAATAAGACGAGAGAGTTGGCCGAAGCAGTCCAAACTAGAAGTCGGAATATTTATCAGAGCACGTACATTTATAGCGTTATCAACATGTCATCATCGTCATAATCAGTCTATAGAGAAAACAGACAACATAGGAAAGGAGAAAAAAATGATTGTGAGTCGATCTGGTTCATGCAAGAAGGAAAGGGAAGCGAACGAGAGATTCAGACGTATCATCAAGTCAAATGCAAGTATCGGGGAGTTCGACCCCATAAGAAATGAGAAGTAAACACAGGAAAACTCATTCTCTGAACGAAAGTCGGGTACTAAAACATATTCTCAATGCACTAGGTCACTTACAAGAAAGAATCACCCTTCGTGCTCTTGAGGTCAGTTGCTTCTCCAAGGCTGTGTAGGGTCTTTCTCAACCTATCGCAATCTTTGTCCAAGTTGTCGATTGTGAGGCGCATATTCTCCACCGCGTGTTGAAGCTGCTTCTCCTTGACAGCAACATCCTCCTCGAGTTTCTTGTTCTCACGCTCGAGGTTCTCGATGGTCTCGGTCTTCTCTGCGACTTGCTGCTCGAGAGAAGACTTCTCGTCCGCCCATTGCTGCTGCTGATCGGCAAAGTCCTTCTTCATCTCAGCCACTTCTTCTGCATGACTGTTGTTAAGAGACTCGACTTCGCTAGCGTGCGCTTGGTGGGCTGCATCCAGCTCCTGAGCATGTCTTTCACAGGTGTCCTCCAATTCCTTCTGTTTGTCGGCAAGTTCGGTAGTCCTCGTCTCCAGCTCCTCTTTGGTGGAGGCCAGCTCAGTCACCTTGGAGTCGAAGTCGGCCTGCAGGGTGTCATGTGCTTCCTGCATCTGCTGCTTCTGGTTCTCGTATTCATTCTTCATCGCATCTTGCTGGTCAAGTAATTCTCGCTCGCGTGCTGCCAGGGCTTCTGCTGCTGCTTTCTCATCCTCCGCTTTAATCTCTTCGAAAAGCTCGGTCAACTCTTGCTTCTGGGTTGCAAGAGCCTCCGCCTTTTCCTCTTTGGCTTTGTCCATGTCTCGCTCATAGGTCTCGTACGCCTCTTTCAGGCTGCTATCGAGCGACTCAACCTTATCCTCAAGCTCGGCTTTGGATTGGGTGAGCTCCTTGTTGGAGTTTTCAAACTCAAGCAATTTCTCTTCAAGATCCTTCTGCTTCTCATCAAGGTTGCCCAGCTCCATCCGCAGCTCGTTGATCGTGTTCTTGAGCCTGGTGGATTCCTCGGCACTCTCGTTCGCTGTTTTCCGCATCTGATTCTGGAGTGCCTCGATGTAGAAATCCTTGTGCATCAAAGCCTGCTCATGCTGACTCTCCATCTGCTTGAACTCAGCCTCCCGTGCCTGGAGCTTGCCCTTGGTATTCTTGTAACTCGAGAGCAGTCGGCCGATGTCAGGAATAGCGTCCTGAATTCTTTGAAGAAGCTCGATAGGCTCCTCATGTTCAGGAGGAGAGATTGTGCCTCCCTTCCCATTGAGACCATGTCCATTGGCAAAGCCCAGGTCGCGCAACATCTGGAAAGATGCTGCTGAGCCTGGATCTATGGAGCCTCGAGGTGTGGGGTGGACGTTAGGAGATGGCTGATAGTAGGCATACTGGGGCAAGTACCCATTGGCGCTCATCATAGGCGAATGATAGGATGGAGGATAGGGTGGCATAGCCTGCAAGGGCACTCTTTGCCCCATTGGCGGCGGGGCCGACTGAGGAGACATTACGGGCGACATGTGCCCCCGTGCTAGTGGACTGCTGACTTTCGGAACTGGAGACGCGGGTTTGGCGACAGGAGAAATATGTTTCTGGACAGGAGAGATTGTTTTCGCCACAGGAGAGGCGGTTCTCTGATCTGGGGACGTCGGTTGCGCCATGGGTGAGGTTGGCTGAAATACTGGGGACTCAGCTGGCGGTGTAGGAAACGCATCCTGCTGCGCCAGAACAGCAGGCTCCTCTTCTGGCATCATAGTTTCAGCCATCAGTGAGGTATACTGTTGTACAGGCGGAGCCGATTGCGGGACGGGCGAAAGAGCACGTGGTGTCGCAGCAGCACTCTGCGGAGCAGGCGAAACGGATTTGAAGGATGGAGATGCAGCGGGAGGAATCGGTGAAGCTGCTTGAGGAATAGGAGACGCAGGCTTAGAAGTGGGTGGAGTTGTTTGCTTGGGGAGCGAATCGGATTCAGGAATGGGCTGAGCGAGCTCTGCTTCGGAAAAGGACTCAGACATGACAGGGTTGTGCAAGTCGCCAACAGAATCCGCGGCGTCAGCGTAGGCAGGAGCTGCCACTAACTGATCCTCTGTTTGCGCAGGAGACTCCAAGGGCTCTGCAGATGTTGGGACGAACGTGGGCTCAAGCGGTGTTTGTGGTGCTGTCACTGGGTTCTCCTCCGTGGCCGCTGCAGTGCCACTGGGCTCAACCAGAAATTGATTTTCCTCCTGAGTCCCTTCGGCCTCTATCACAGGGGTTTCCGGCGAGCCTACTGCCTCCCAGGCTGGCTCTTGTGGTTGTTCGGGGCTGTTCTGTACATGGTTCACGTCTGGCTCTTGGCTAGGAGCAAGCTCCGAATTGGCTGGCTGAGCAGACCAGCCCTCGTCACTCACCGGGGGCTGAGCTTGAGCCTGGGTTTCAGGAATAGTCGAGTGTTGCTCGACAACAGCTGGTGGTTGCTCCAGTTCCGATTCTTGGGGTGGCACCGACTCTGGTTCCAATGCAGGATCTGCTATTGTTTCAGAAATGGTTTCTGCCGCTGCTGGTTGCGATTCGATGGCAGCTTCGACTTGCGGTTGTTCTTGCTTGTACTGCTGCTGCTCTTGTTGTTGTTCTGGCTGTGTGTCGTGCTGTACTTGCTGATGTTCTGAAAGCTCTGGTTGAGGTGTCTCTGGTTGTTGGTCTTGCCAGCCTAAGTCTTGTGGTTCCTGTTCGTGACTGGGGGTCACCGGTTGAGAGAGTTCCTGCTGTTCGTCTTGCTGTTCTTCGAGAGATAGCTCAGGTTGAGGTGTCTCTTGTTGATTTAGTTGTTCATCTTGCTCGACAGCGGCAGGCTCGGGCTGAGGTGTCTGGGTCCCAGAGGCCTCTTGACTCTTGCCCTTCTTATTCTTTTGTTTGTTATTAGCCTTGTTGTTCTTTTTGGCCATGACTGATAGTAGTGCGTGCCCAAGTTGAAAAGTAAGGCTGACAGACGTGTTCCCAGTAAGCTAGAAACTTGATTCTATCAGTAGAGGCTCGATTGGGTGAACGTGGGTTTAACAATGTACATTTGCAGGCGCGTTCGGCGGTGTCAAGTTATATTCCGGCTCCGTATAGGTACAGAGCGAACGCAAGGAACCGAAATTGGTCAGTCTGGAAGCGTGGGCGATCACACGATCAGACAGAGTTCTTCGGTGGCAAAATGGGTAGGGGGAGAAAAGGATTAGGAAAATAGGAGGAATAAAGAAAGAATTGGAGAATATGCAGGGAGTGGGCACAAATGAGTGCCATACACGAAGGCAAGTGACTGGGTGTCAGATGGCAGCTTCGCCGGCGGGCAGACAACTCGGAATGCCAGGATGGCTTTCCACACGCTGGCTCTTAAAATAGTTGGGATGCTGAGGGCTGGGGACCAAAGAGAAGAGGGACGTGGAGGGAAATTTGAACAGCTAATAACCGGTTCTCAGAGACGCCCAAACCGGGAATGAATCGCATGGTGAGAAAGAGTCATTTCAACCAGCCTCAAGGGGGCTGGGCAAGGCGTCAAACGGACCGAACCTTAGAGGACGATTGATACCCATCTGGATACGGAGGCCAACTAGGCACAGAAGGCAAGCATGCAGACACCTCTGGGGAGGGGCAAAAGAAAGGAGTCAGAAGGGTGGACCGAAGCATTGGAGATCCGACTTATCCCAGACCCAATCACCTCACGCATTGGGCATCAAAGACGCGATACTCGCGGTGACCGGAAGAATCAGAAGAGGGCGGGGAAAGGAGAAAATAGACTATGAGTAAGAACGAATAGCTATTCCAAGCTCGATAGCCTGAAATCTTCTTCGAACACCGCCGCCGGGGGGGACAGGACTGTACTCGAGTAAGATGGTACTTACTGGTTGGGAGGAGTATGTGGGTGGGGTATGGTGTGGGACAACGCTAAGTACAGATCGATGACATGTCCCCCTTGATAACCAGAGGATGCGGAGTCCACATGATTTGGCACAAGATGAAACCCAATTGACATCGCGCTAAGAGTGAGTAGTGGGGAGCGCCATGTTGAAGTGAGGCAGTTAGCCATGCATCAGGGCCACCAGCCTGGGGTGCGGTGTAGAGGACTTGGGAGTGTAGACTCGCTCGCTACCTAGTCTAGTCGCTATTAGGTATTGACAAGGAAGCCAACACAGCGAGCGACCCGCCAGTCGTCGGCCCATGCACCCGCCATGCACCAGCCAGTCAGTGCACCACCAAACACCGTTCGAGGGGGGTTCAACTTTCAAGGCGAAGGGTTTCCCTGATCCCTCGGAAAGAAGAGGGAGAATAATAGGTAGTTAATGCAGGTAAGGCGATGGCCGAGGGTCCGAGGGTTCACATTTGACCAACATGCAGCTTTTATTAGGCTGTCAGAGAGACTGACATGATGCTTTGACAACAAGAAGAAGCAACCTGATGATTTCCCGGGAGTAGGTAGTCATCACGGAGTACATTAAGGATGTATGTACAGCGAGTGCTCCGTACAGTACATGCTGTCCCAAGTTCACCGCAGCGGCGGCGTCGGGCCCTGCCTTTACTTACCTAAGGTACAACGACCGCGCTAATCCCGCTGGGGTTAAGACCCGAGCATGGCAAACCTAAGCCCAATCCAGATATTATATCACGTGATATCCGCCTTGAGCCGTCCTTCTGCGCTTTCACCTCACCAGCAAGCCCCAGCGACGGCATCGTGATTGTTCGGCGCTGCCAATTGTTTTCTTCCACACCATGTTCTTTGCCAGGCGATCGGTAGCTTCGGCGCGGCTACTGCTGCGGAACCAGCAGCCCCATCGATTTGGCTCTCATGCAGCTCACCACGCTGCCCCTGTGAACGAGAGCTTCGGCGTACGTTCCCCTGCCTAACGGTTCCCTCCAATTGGGAACGATTGACCCCCCCCCCCAATCCGTGTCGCCCGCGATGGCTGCTAGGATCCTACGCTGCAAGATCGTATTGTTCCTGCTTCTTCAAATGAGTCAATTGGGCTAATTCTGAGATCGGCCAATCCCTACAGCGGAGTTTCTACGTCACCGTCGGCACCTTCGCTGCCTGCTACGTTATCCACCGCATCCACAAGGCCACTGAGGAGTCCGGCTCCCAGTCTTGGATCTCCAACCTCATCCAGAAGTGGACTCCCTCGGAGCAGGTCTTTGAGCAGAGAAACGCCATCCGGACGGCGGTAATGGAGAAGGCTGCTCGCGACCGCCACTTGTTCGCCAGTCAGGGCCCTAGCGAAACATATGGATTGATGCAGCCCGAGTACGAAATTGCTATAGCCTTCCTATTTTCAGAATCGCGGGCACTAACGTATGCTCTTTGCACTTTTTAGGGTCAGCTTCCACGCCGTTCAGCCTATCAACCTTGTCGCCGGCTACGATGCGGACCTCAGCAAGGTTGTCGCACACTACGAGCGCAAGAACCAGGCCATTGAGGAGGACCGTGTTGCCCGGATGAAAGATGGCAAGGTCGTTTCTCTCTACGAATAGTTAAGCTGAATTAATTTGAATTATTTGGTCACAAAACTCTGTCGGTAGACCTGGGGAGCACGACACGTTGTACATGTACATATAACAAGACAGAGGAAAAAGGTCTCGATGCCTCTTTTTTCCTTTTCTACTCAGCCAGATTCTTGACGATTCACCGTTGGGGCTGTTCTATAAGTAGTGCCATAGAGTGAGTCTTGAACAGCGCAGACACAGCTACGTAACAGATCATGTTCGCTTCCGCGCCCGAACCAATGAGAGTGCATGTTTATCTAAGCCCAACTAACTACTAATATTCTAGCACCATCATGGAATACCAGAACTGCATACCGAGTACTCTATACTCCTATCCAAGCACGATCTCGAGAATTACTCTTCCAACACCTTCAGACTTGACATCTAGTCGCTCTTGCACCCTCAAGTTACCGCCACTGATTCCTCCCACCACAGCAAGGAACTCATCCACCCCACCACCCACGCCGAAGTAGACCTTCTTCGCCGCTATCAAAGCCTGGCTTGAGAATCCTTCCTGCGCAGGCCGACGCAATAAAGCAAGCAACGTTTCCGAAAAGGCCTGCAGCGAGGTAGGAGAGTAGATGGTCTCGCTTGCGAGAATCAACGCATCGCTTCTACTCTGTTCACCGGATGAAAACACCAAGTCCACGAATTCGGGCGACCAAGCGCCGGAGACGAATTCAACAGTAATCCCCTGCCTTTTCAGGTCTCTCTGGAAGCTCGCGACAAGCTCGGGACTAATTTCCAGTAATTCATCCTCAGTGTCCCCGTCTTCGGGCGATAGAGACTCGGCAGAGAGCGGCGTTCCCTGTGCCGAGACGATGTAGTTCCATGTCAGAAGGAGGTTCGGGAAAGTGACGAGACGGAGAACAGCGGAGTTGTAGTCCGCGAATGTGAAGTGGACCCTTCGTTGAGCATTGGGCTCCATTGATAGCAGCTGTGCAAACAGGGCTAAGGATGGCACGGCAGTGCCTGCCCCGAGCTACAAGTCATCGGAGCATTAGTATGAGCTCCTCGAGCCAGTGGGCCGTCCCAACTGTCCTTGCATCTACTCACCTCGATGAAATGCCGTTTGCCGGCAGTTTTCGTCATCGCATTCATCGCATTAGCGTCGAGAAGCAGTTTCGCCAGGTCCAAGGCACATTCCCACGTCTTAAAGCCGCCCTCGTAGAAGTTGGGCTTGATGTCGCCTTTCTCAAGCCCAGTGATCAGCTCATAGTTGTCTTCTCTGTCTTCGGCAGTGTCTTCTGCCATCAGCTGGGTTCGAATGTCGTAAACATCCCGGCGTGCAAGCGTCACTGGCTTCCCTGGGCTTCCATGCTGAGAAATAGGGATGGCAAGCTTGTTGTACGAGATTTGTGAGGGAAGCGAGGGAATCTGCAGCACGGTTACACCTTGTCACATCTTGCATGAAGCAGATCCGGGATTTGAGAGCTTGCTTCCGACAAGGACTTACCCACTCTGACATATCATGACGCCTGGCTGGCACCAACTCGGGCAGTCTAGCACTAATGCCTTGTCGGAAAGTGAAGCCTTCTTGATTGACATCGCCGGTATCATTTTCGTCAATATCAATATCATCCCCCGCAAAGCCAAAGCTGAATGTGGACGACATGATTGAGGCAATTCCACAGTTGAGCCGCTAGCTTTTCCTTCTACAGCTTTCTTTCACCACGAACTTGATCGCGCAAAAGGAATTCTGAAATGTGCACTGTAACAGTCTCCCGGTTACTTTCGGTCGAAATGAGGTGGGGTATCCTGTAACTTATAGATTGCACTGCTGGCGTACAAATGAGTTTGCGGTTCTTCGGCAACAGCGTGTAAGCTCAGAGAAACAGATTCTTTGAGCTATGGTATATAGAATGGCAGCTTTTACTGTGCCCGAGATGTTAGCAATATTACCACGCGTGGTCGACCTCCAGCCTGAAGAGGTCTTGATCCTCTAAATTTTTTTTGCAGGACAGGACAAAAAAACAGATGACTAATCATCTTTTGTATGACCGACGATTTCCATACAAACAATGCAAGAACCAGACTTCTCTTTTCACTCAAGACCTACGAACATTTTTTGTCGGGAGTTGGTTCAACGAGTATTTTCGAATATTCTATGTGATTGCAATACACTAGATTCAAGTCTTGAGTACTACACTTCAATAAGTATTTAGCCCAGAAACAGATATATTCATTATCAACCGTGTATGCTGCGCTCATAATTATTTCACAAGGAGATTCGTAACTCTAACCAGAGGGATGAGGTTCTATGCAAGCTCCTCACCATGCACAATGTTCCATGCCTTGCTTCGTCGATTAGTTTCCACCGAGTCTTCAATCGATGGGATTGATCTAGCCCTCTAACGGGTCTATCATCTATTGCTGTAAACAGTCCTCAATCCTCGACGACCATTCAATCAAGCGCTGCCGTTCTCAATGGGGCGGCTAGCAGCCACGGCTTTCTTAAGGGCCTGAAGGACATCAGCCGTTAGGTCTTCGGCATCTTCAACACCGCAAGAGATGCGAACGAGGTCGTCGTAAACACCGGCGATCTCACGATCGGCCTTGGGGATACCAGCATGAGTCATGGCCGCGGGAACCTCGCAAAGACTCTCAACGCCACCCAAGCTCTCCGCCAGGGTGAAGACCTTAGTGTACTTGCAGAACAAGTGGGCAGCCTGCTCTCCACCTTTGATACGGAAGCTCAGCATACCACCACCCATGCCTTGACGGTGCTGCTTGACAGCGATAGCGCGCTGCGGGTGAGAGTCGATACCGGGGTAATTGACGGAAATGACATGGGGAGAGGCCTCAAGGGCCTTGGCGACGGCCGTGGCATTGGTGGTAGCCTCCCGCGCACGCAAGTGGAGAGTCTTCAGACCGCGGTGAGCGAGCCAGCAGTCGAAGGGCGACGGAACGGCACCGATGGCGTTTTGAAGGAAAGTAAGACGCTCTTTCAAGCTGTCCGAGTTGAACGCCGCGACACCCATGAGGACATCCTATTCCTAGTGTTAGCCGATAGGTCCTACTGGTGGGGAATTTGAAGCCAAGCTTACCGAGTGACCGTTAATATACTTGGTGACGGAGTGCACAACAATGTCGGCACCATGATCCAGGGGGTTTTGAACATAGGGGCTCATGAAAGTGTTGTCGACGACCACAATGATGTTATATTTGTGCGCGATGGCAGCAACCTTCTCGATATCGACCAAACCGAGGGTAGGATTGGAAGGGGTCTCGATCCAGACCAGCTTGGTCTCGTTGGGGCGGATCAACTTTTCGACATTCTCCTCGATGCTGGGCGTGAATGTCACCTCAACTCCATGGGCAGATGCGACCTTGGTGAAATAGCGATGGGTACCGCCGTACACATCGGAGACGGAGACAATGTGCGAGCCCGCAGCGAGAGACTGCAGAATCACGGCAGTGGTGGCAGATCCGGAGGAAAAGGCCAGAGCATATTTACCGTGCTCAACGGCAGCGATAGCTTCTTCGAAGTTGTCTCTGGTTAATAGTCAGTGTCCGTCTAGTTTGGGAGGGACCCCAAGCTCACTGACCGGTTTGGGTTCGAACTGCGAGTGTACTCGTAAAGACCGACGGGGGAACCAACGCTGGTTTGTGCGAATGTAGTAGACAGAGAGATCTAGTTCTTTTGAGTCAGTAGTTGCGTGATAACCGAATTCCTGGCGAGGAGAACTGACCGGAGCAATGACAGCGCCGGTGGTAGGATCATGGGGAGCACCAGCATGCACGGCCAAAGTTCCGAAGCCGCGTGCCTGGGAGACGGAATCTCCGTTTTGAGCGACCATTATGACGAAATGGGGTTGGTTGAATGCGGAAAGAGGGTTTGAGAGATCAAAGAAACCAGGAGGAGGATTGGCTTCGCTTATATAGTATGCTATGCTAGTGAGCCAATTTCACAAAGAAATGATGTGATTTCTCAACGTTGCCGTTTGCGATGGACACAGGACCAACAGGTTGACTTATATAGGAAGTAATTGACTGAATGAAGTTGGAGTGGTTTTTGTGCAGGCTGTAAGCACGAGAATGTACGGAGTAGAAAGACAGACAGATTTGTAATAAGAACAGAACCCCCTCGAAAGAAAGGACTACCTAATATAATTTTTGCCGGAATGCAAATGCGAACCTGCCAAGACTCCCAAGGGCGTAGAAAGGACCAAACTCCCTGCTGAAGAAGAAAAAAAAATCCAAAGAAGAAAAAAAAAATGAACCAAATTCTCTTGGATGGACGAAGATGAGTTTCTTTTACGTTGCCGACTGGAGATCTTCCGGAAGTCGATAGGACGAAGCGGCGGGCAATTCCCCACTCCGCCTTCCATTCATTCTTCCATCCGTTCCACAATCGAATTATAGTACAAATAACTTGAGTAAGTTTCTCGACTGCCGCCACTAACCGCCCGCTGCCAGTCGGAGATGTCGGACCAGCGTCGGATCTTACCTACTAGTACTATACTATAGTATCCTACTCAGTAATCTATGTACTGATGACTATGTACAAAGTACTCAGACATACTCGATACTTGATACACACACTATAGATAGTCTCTCCGTCTTTCACCGCATGCTTATCAGTATCGGTTCAACGCACCGCACGGACTCTTGCTGATTTCCTTCTTATTCTTGCTTTGAGCGGTAATAATCATGATTGGCAGGAAATGACCAAACTAATATTATAATCATAAATAGGTACAAGGTAGGAAGGTATCTAAACATCGCCAGTAAAAATGAGAGCAGAAGGCACGGTGCTTATGCTTGAATAACATCATAAGAACTCATCTTGGAGATCATTCACCCTCAGACAAAATAGCACAGAAGCAAAACACAGTCGCCATCTCTCCATTATTTACACAGGACGGTCCCAGACCGTAGCAGGCAAGAGAAACAGAGATAGATGGTAGGTTTCAATTCGTCCCGGTGATTTCCAGTCATACATCCCGAATCCGTACATACATGAGGGGGGGGGGAAGAACTCTCTAGAACACCCTAAAAGAAAACCCCTATACATCGCAGAAAATGCCCAGCCCTAATGCGAACCCGTTTGCCGTTACTGCGAGGTGATTGCATGCCTTATACAGGTATTGTTCTATCGAGCGACCATCTGATTGGAGCCGGGGCCGCCTAGGATGCCAGCCGATTGATGTAAGGAGTTGGCAGGCCGGGAGGAGAGAGAAGGAGATGGCTCTCGTTTGGACGAGGCCGATTGAAAAAGGCCCAGGCGGGCCGACGGGGGAGAGTAAGCAGCATGCTGAGAGGTGCCTTGAGGGGAGCGGTGGTCAAAAGCGCTGTAGGAGGCGGGATGTGGTTTTCGCACGTCGAGCGGGGAGGAGCTTAGAGATCGAAATCCAGACCTCCGGTCTGCATCATAATCGGGGTTGACGAAATGGCCAAGATTTGGAGGAGCTTGTTCTTGATCGAACGGGGTGTTATTGGCTGATGAATTTTCCGCGATGGTGGAGGCTGAGCCGTTGGGTGCGTGGATATCAACCACTCGTTTCTGAGCAGCAGGGGTAGTGTATGCAGGGGCCCGGGGATTCTCGTAAACTCGGTTCTGGGGTCTTTGTGAAAATGGTTGGTGTTGATGGACGGGATGTTGAGGGTTGGCCCATGGTGTCTGCTCCAAGAAAGCCTCCTCTGCTGATGTACGGAAGACGCTCGATGACATGGCTGGCATAGTTCCCCGGGGTAAGGTAGGTTGCTGTTGAGCAAGTGGGGGTTTTGTTTCGATAGATATCTGAGCATAAGGGTACGTTAACAGGGGTTGCCGATGATTTGCAGCATGACTGAGATGACTTACGCCCATTTTCTCAAGGTCATCTTCCAGCTCGGAAGGTCGCGCCGCGGACAGCGAAGGGGCCGCAGGAAATCCAACGTATTTTGCGACTCCGGCCATGATCGAGACCTCTTGATTATACGCTGTTTGATGCGCGATTTGTTGTGAGCGACGCGTCGGGAAAGGAATATAATGCTGTGGACTGACGTCGTCCGTCTTGAATCGATCGTGCTGTATAGAGTAGAACTGTTTGCTGATCGCACTAGAATTCTTCTCGCGAATATCCCGTGTCCGCTGGAAATATGTGCTGTGTGCTTGCGCTCGTTCAGCCAAACTCTTGTTCAGCAGAGCCTGTATTCGGTACTGGAATAGCGTGTGCTCATATTTGATCTTTGAGTCTCTGTAGCGGGCGAGGCAGTCGAGCTGCCGCAGGAATTCCGGGTGCGTTGGATTCGGACCATTCAACATTTCGAGTTCCCGATTCAGTTTGGAGATTCTCTCGTCGTATATTCTAACCAAGTTACATAGGTCAGTTATGAGGGGCCAGGTGAAACCGGCGGTGGCAGCAACTTACTTGTCACGCAGCGTTGCGAATTCTCTTTCTAATACAGCTAATGAATCCATGGCAGCCATTCGTTTCGCTGCTAGGAGTAACATGTTAGCTATGTGTCCATGCATAACCGTGATAGAGCGTGATCCAAAGACTTACACTCTTCTTCAATTTTAGCAGCAGCTTCACTGTCGTCCACATCTTCACCGCGCTCAGCGGTGTCGTCTTCCGCGAGATTGTCATCGACTTCCGCGCCCATGTCACCGATGCCGTTATCCATATCGTCATCTGCATCTCTAGCTTTCCGTCCTTTCCGCTTGCCCTTCTTTGCCCTTTTACCTTTCGCGGGGACTGTGTGCGAGGTTAACTCGGGCGTCTCATCTGCCGGTGTATCCTCTTCAATGGTTTTAGACGGGTCTTCCATGGGCTCGGGGCTTAGGGCGATATCGTCTGGAGGTGGGTCGCTCAAATCACTCTTCATTGAGCCGCGACGTTTCTGTGACGGTAAGTCATCTTCGTCAATTTCGGTACCCAGCTCGTCGCCGGACTCCAAGCGCTTGCGTTTTTTGCCAGTGCCTTCTATTGATAGCGTTGAGCCCTCGCGCCCAGAAGTCTCATCAACCACGTCATTGATGCGGTTGATTCTGGCGCGAGGCTTGCTGGGTGAATCGTCTGCAGCATGTTCTTCTTCATCTTCGACATCATCATACGTCGTCGATTGGGCCAATTTGCTGGGGCTTGGCTCATAAGCAGCTGCACTCACGACAATATTTGTTTTGGAACGGAAGTTTGGGGAGTCCTCGATGCGCTCTGTTTCCGCTTCCGAGTCATTTTCTGGGGCCACCCTCTCAGGCTTGGGAGACTCATAATCGGATGGTATATTTTCGGACACATCATCAATCTCACTAAGACTACTCGATCGGTCGTCACCCATTATCGAATCGTCTAGGAGAAGGCTCTGTTCCCCATTGGCGATGGTGGTGTCCACCCCAGGTGGCGCACCCACCGCCACGGGCTCTGTACTCTCGGCGACTTCCATCTTCTTGCGCAGCAATCACAATAGTCAAGTGAGCGGGTGTAGGTGATTGAAGAAGTATTGAGGAGGCTAAGCTGAGATTTGTGGTCGGTAGCCTGGTGGGAGGGGGGGGGAGGGGGAAGAGGGATGCTGGGCGAGACGGTCAAAGCCGTAGACCTAAGGCCGAAAAAGCCAGAAAGTTAGACATATTATACACAGACATTTCGCCAAAGCAACAAAAAAATATATAGTCAGAACGACAGTCGATCAAGTTCAAAAGCAGGGTGGAGGAAGAGGGGAGCGACAGAGTCCCAAAGGCGGTGCGGAGATTTGATCACACCCCAGATAGAGCGAAAGTCACTCTCGCTCCCGGCTTGGGCTCTGAGAACTGCGCCGGCCCGACAAACAGGGCTCTAGGCTCTTGTTCAGGGGTCTGGGGCGCCGAATCTAGTGCGATTGATCCAATACCGATCCTCCACTGGCTCGAAAAGCATTGGGAAACATACCGTTTAGCAATGCGCCGACAGTGAAATCCGTGGTGTTTCAGCTGCCGCGACCGAGCACGATTCCCTGAACCACCGCGGTCGCGGAGAAGGAATCAGGGAAGGTAGGCCTATCCACAAATTTCCAGAGCTCCGACCTTGCACTCAAGTATGTCTTCGGTCTATGGGAATGCGCAGACGAACTTCTAGTCAACGAGAAGCGAGAGGGACAATGAGGAGGCGGTTGTGGTGGGCGTCGACTTTCAGGAAGCGGGCAGGACGACAAGTGCAGCGTAACGGAAGTCTGAGCGGCATGGAAGAGAGAAGCGTAGTCGGCTGTACAAGGAGAACGGATGGAAGCAAAGGTAAGAGAGAGAGGAATGGAATGAAACAAGATTGGAAATTGAAATCACCAAGTCTGAAGCGCAGAATCGAGATGGCAGCTTGGATGGCGCGGGAGGAGGAGGGAGAAGAAGTGCGGCAGCAGCAGCAGCAGCAATCATCCTCACCACTAATCAGAGCCGGCGTCACCCTGCTGTATTCCGCCCGTATTGAGTTCTGCCGGCTGTATATTCCTTTCGCCGAATGAGGGCTCACCGCCTGAAGTGGTTCGCTAGGGCATTCTCACTATAGTCTGGGGAGAACACCGAGCACGTTTTACACTGGCTAAAGTTGCGATACGATATCTAACATAGCTTCGAGGGTATTAAAGCATCTCTTAGGAGAACTAAGCTGACCTCGCCATCTGAGCATAGCTTCACGACATTAGTCTCCCACAATTCTCTGAGGAGGATAGAGTGAGAGGAGAGAGCCGACTCCACGTGATCTGCCCCGGCTTTCCGTCGCCAAGACCGCCTCCAAAAAAAGCAAGAGAAAAAAAAGTTGGCTGAAGAAATACGGAAACAGAAACACCCGTCATAAGATTTGCAGCAACGAAAGCGAACCTGATCGCTGTCTCGTGTTCAAGTGGTGGACCATTCATCGTCAAAGGGTTTCCGACATCTCATAGGTTTTCGCCGTAATGGCCAAGACAGAAACATCTGTCTCCCTTCTGGGAACAACTGCCCCCATAGATCCTTCTTTGGCTTCCTTGTTCGCGACGAGTGTACGTTTCAGGCTTTTTATCATGCCCAAGTGCCAATTGAGCTGACACTTTTCTACAACAGGCCGGTCCAGTCAAGACTCCGACAATAATCGCTCCGGCAGAAAAGCGCGCTACGAAAGATGAGCAAGATGACGAGAGCGAGGATGAGATCTCCGAGGCGGAAGACGAAGAAATGGAAGAGGCCCCAGAGGCCGAGAGTGATTCTGGAAGTATATCGGCGGTGAATGTCTCCGAGGCCTTTAGTCGGAAGCGGAAGAGGGCGCCGGCCGAAGAAGTCGAGGACTCGTACATGCGTCGCATAGAGAAGGAGCAGCAAAAGGAGGAACTCAAGCGTCGTGAAGAGAAGGCTAAGCGACAAAAGATCACAGAGGGTGAAAACGAAGACGAGGAGGAACAGCCTAATGAAAACGACGATGAAAGCGACAGCGAAGATGAAGAGGAGACTGCGCTGCCGAAGCATGAGAGTCTTACTGGAGCCGGTGAGAACGCGGAACTGGATAAGTCTAATCGCACTGTGTTCCTTGGCAATGTGTCGAACGAGGCTATCAAGTCTAAGTCTGCTAAGAAGACGCTTCTCAAACACCTTGGGTCATTCCTTGACTCGCTTCCAGAATCCACAGGACCCCACAAAGTTGAATCAATCCGCTTCCGCTCGACAGCCTTCGCTAGCGGAGGCAAGGTACCAAAGCGAGCTGCATTCGCAAACAAGGAAGTCTTGGATGACACGACCCCATGCACAAACGCATATGCTGTGTACTCAACGGTGCAGGCTGCCCGAAAGGCCCCGGCTGCATTGAACGGCACCGTTGTCCTCGATCGCCATCTGCGTGTTGATAGCGTCGCGCATCCCGCTCAAATCGACAACAAGCGGTGTGTCTTCGTTGGCAACTTGGACTTAATTGATAATGAGACCAAACCTGATGATGAGAAGAGGAAAAAGCCGCGGGCCCCCGCAGATGTGGAAGAGGGTCTCTGGAGGGTGTTCAATGCCCACACCGGTGGGTCAAAGAAGGACAGTTCTGGCAAGGGTAGCGTTGAGTCGGTTCGAGTGGTCCGTGATTCTGCCACGCGTGTTGGAAAAGGGTTTGCCTATGTTCAGTTTTATGATCAAAATTGCGTGGAGGAAGCCCTCCTGCTGGAAGGAAAGCAATACCCCCCTATGCTCCCGCGCAAGCTACGTGTGTCTCGAGCTAAGAAGATCATGAAGAAGCGCGATTCCAGTGGCAGCAATCGAGGGAAGGCCCTTGCAGGCGCGGATAAGACACTTCAGGGTCGTGCTGGTAAACTCTTTGGCCGAGCCGGAGCATCCAAGGTCAAGGCTGCAGGAAGGACCTCCATCTCGCAGAACTCGTTGGTGTTTGAAGGTCAGCGAGCCACGGAAGGAGCATCACGCATCCGAGTCAAGGGGAAGAGTCGTGGATCGAAGGCTAAGCGCAACAGTCGGAGTAGCAAGCGCGCTGCAGCATACAAGGCTGCTGGTGGTAGGAAAGGCAAGTTGGACCAGTAGGAATAATCTTCCGTTCGTTGTATGGCGCGTTTCATGTATGTAATTTATCATCCCGGACGGACATAGGAGATTGCGAACTTGTGTAAAAGCACGACTGGGTGTGAAATTCAAGTCAAACCTATGAGGATTTTCATGATCTATGTTTGTCAGGGCTGGTATAGACCTACATGCTACAAAAGTGTGCTCGTTCCTAACTTCCGTGGTGTCGTTTGCCTCCAGGAACTCAAGACCAGTGACGTCATTGCGCGGGCGCATCCCTTATCGATTGTGAGCTGCTACTAATCCGTACCCAGACTCCACATTATAATATCCGATCACTACCCCGTCTCAACTAGAAATCAGGATAAACTTTCCACATAAAATCAACTTCGCAAGCTTGACCTCTTCTGTGAGACAAACGCGACGTGTCTTCGCTCTTGTCGTCTGGCACGCATGAGGTGCAGTAGAAATATTCAAGCGCCTCACAAGCAATTGTCCGAGACGTTTTGAGCTCTATTGTTCGTCTTTGAGTAGAAGTGGATCAGCCTGGCATTCACTCACGGCCAGCAGTCCGATGCGCTTCTAGGTTCGATGAAATATAGCTTTGTACCTAACAGATCCACCCTCGCAAGCGATTCGCTTATCATCCTGCAGTCTGTTGCTTGATATCAAGCGACTTATATTACCCACAATGATGCTTCCGTTCATCCATCGACTTCGAGGGATTCGAAGACCACCGAACCCCTTAGGTAACGACAACGAGACCGGCGCTTCATCGGAGGAAGAGGCCAAGACATTGGATAAGGATGCATACTACCCTAGCTGCTACGACGTGTTGAAGGTCCGATACCTGCTGCAGCATATCTGGAAATGGAAGAGAGACTCGGAGGAGCTGTTCCCTTGTGAGCTTGTGGACATGATCGTGGATGCGGCCGAATACTGGGCAACCAGCGAGTCTAGCCTGGAAGGAGAGACGATTATCCGAAAGGATCAGGACCAGGTGCTGTTAACAACCGTGCCACTGTGCTATGCTATGGAGGTATGTCCTTACCGTCCCAAGTGACACCAGTCTCGCATCCAGTCGAATAATGAAAGCTACGACAATGAATTTAAACCTACCGGAACTGATGAAAACTCATAGACATTAAGTTCCGACTCTCCCCGGGTGCTTCCCCATCGAACCGCTCACCCTTGCCGCAAGATCATGTTTACCATCTCAGCCCATGACCAGGGATGGGGTGGCGGTGCCCGCAATAAAGGTCCATACGACGGGTCTTTCACATGGTTCGACACCCAGATTATCCACTCGGCCCAGAAGCCGCCTCCACCAAATGAAGCGCCGAGTCAGGAGCAGCAGCGGGTACACTTCGAATCGGGCGATCCTCTTCTACTCCCGAGCCCTCATAAGCTACAGTCAAACCGAACGGCGGACAAGAATACCCAGCTACATCGTATCACTTGGCATTATCTGGATAACATCCCCAGCGACTCCAGTGAAGCAGAAGACATCGAAACCAGCCAGGGTCGTGGGCGTGCAACCTTAGACGGTAGTCAAGTTCGTGCTTTAGAAGTGGGTGATGCCATCCAGATCTGGGGGAGAGCTCGATTTGGGGGATGGATCAATCATGTTGAGCGGGTGATGGTGCGAGTATTCTGGGCTGTGTGATTAGGCCGGAACGAGCGTTTCTTTCCAGTTAAGGTGGCTTGATAAGGGCCAGTCTCGGACGGTAAATGATAGTCATGAACTGGCACGGCAAGATCAGCATGGATCAATCGCATAGTTAAGTAGCCAGCAAATAATCATCGTGTATAAATTTTAGGCTCAAAGATGATTGCTGTGAGTAGGAAGAGCATTCTCAGCTACATGATCATTCAGTGCCGGGCAGCATACCCCGGATTTCCGCCAGCGGCCGTGGCGCTGACGCGGGGGCTAACTTAGAAGGTTAACAAGTTACGGAGTACAGTACAATACTAGTGGCGGCCTGCCAAATCAGGCACGAGGGATGATCACCTCATTCCTATACAAAATCACGCAATTCTGCCGAGCGTCCCATTCTGTTAAGTCTCACCTGAATATAAGGTCGCGATCTTCCTCATGGCCAGCAACGTTGGTTGCTTTTACTCTTGTTGGTACACAAAGATTGAAAATGTGAGACGATCAATCGATCTAGGGAGGGTCCATGCTGCCTTTCCCTGAACACTAACACTATTTACTATCTCACTCTCAACATTCCCATGTCTACAGAATGGATACCAGAATACGCCATGACAGCAGCCGACGGAAAGCGAAGCAGCAATTCCGGTGGGGCAGGCCGCGTTGGTTGCGCAACGTCCTCAACCATTGATCAGTTGACTGACTCCCAAACTCCCAAACAAGGAGCTGCACTGGCTCACTGCAGGAACCAGTAAGCGGACTGTTCATCACCGCCTGAACTGTCTGGACGGTGTGTGATGCGTGATCTCTCCCGAGAGTTGACGCAGACACCGTGGACACCGTCGACGCCTGCCGTCGGTCTCTTCGGGCACCCTGCGTGGTCAATCGCCGATTGACTTATTCGCCGACTGAGCAACCCTCAACAACAGCCCTCCTCAGGCTTGCTAAGATATCTGTGTATCTTTCCAGAGTGACCATGATGAGTCTCTTATTTGTCTACCCCCGAAGGGGTTCTGATTTGATGATTTCGCCGAGAATTACTCCGGCAATCCTCTTCAATCGCCCTGAGCTTTTACCTTAAATTGCTCATTCGCCCTCTCCTCTGAAGATATTCAGCTTGCTCTTCGGATACTACATACTGTGGGTTTTCTCCATAGTGGACACTTAGGAGCTTTGATACGGTATCTCGTTGCCTGAGAGTCTCTACAGCCAGAAAGCGTCCTCAGAATGGCACAGCCTCAGAGATGTGCCGCGGTTGTGGTGGGAGCTGGTCCTGCTGGTTTGGCAGTCGTTGGAAATTTACTAGAAAAGCGGCTTGGTGGAAAGATAGCCTGGGTTGATCCGTACTTTCAAGGAGGGCGAGTCAATCGGAAGTATCGCGAAGTTCCCAGGTGAGTGTGCCCGGATCAGGCTCTCTAATTACGATCGAAACTGTGGCCTGGGAGCATCCTCGCTGACACCACAGCATCAGCAACACCAAGGTGTCGTTTTTCCAAGCTTATGCTACCGCCGTTCAACCCTTCAGATCCGTGATTGCCGATACCCGCATGCCTAATCCTTTTACGACTATGGCCAAGCTTGACCAGGATAAGACCTGTCATCTACATCATGCTGCGGATGTGGTCTGTGCGCTCACCGACGGACTCACGAAGATGGACAATGTTCTGCCATGCCGGGGTACAGTCACAGCTGCCAATCTTTCCGAGCAGGTCGGTTCGCGCTGTTCTCCTGGTAAAGCTTCTCTCGTAATGCTAACTTTGTGTAGACATCCGATTGGACAGTTCGAATCAAATTTCAAGATTCCCAAGACGAGATTGATGTGATGACACCCCGACTCGTTCTCTGCACGGGGTCATCCCCCACGGAAGTCTCGATCCCTATTACCGGGCACCACATCGAAAGGCTGGAGCTTGATCTTGTGCTGAAGCCTAGTGAACTAATCACACATCTTCCCCACAACAAGCCCTTGGAAATTGCCGTGGTAGGAGCCTCTCACAGTGCAATTCTAGCCCTACTCAACCTGGTAGACTTGGCACGCAGCTCCCATCCTGAACTCCGCATCAAATGGTTCACGCGACATCCGCTGCGTTACGCGGAGTTTATGGATGGCTGGATCCTCCGAGATAATACTGGACTCAAGGGTCATGCCGCTGATTTCGCTCGCCAGCAGTTGGAGGATGACAAACTACCCCAGTCCGAGGCCGGCCGCTTCATCACGAAGGTAGACTGCGGGGGCGGCCAGGAATCAGCCCAATACCAGCGGGTCCTGCCATCATGCACCCATATAGTTCAAGCCGTGGGCTTTACGCGAGACCCACTCCCAGAGCTATCGGTCAATGGCCGTCTATTGGAGCCTGACTTTGACTCGGTCTCAGGTGGCTTTTATGATCCCGATGGGCGCATTGTCCGAGGCCTTTATGGGGCTGGTATCGCATTCCCGGAGCGGGTGGTTGATCCATATGGCAATGTTGAACATGCCGTCGGGTTCTTCAAGTTTATGAAATACGTCAGACGGGTGACCCCGCTGTGGGCAGCTTCTTAGATGGATGGCTCATGATGTTTTCAATCCACTAGCGTGTTTGCCCACCCTCAATGCCCGGTTCGATGGCTGTCGCCTCTGGTAGGTTCGCAGCTTGGCATTGATGGTCTTATCTAGGATCGTAACGAATAATGTGATGATATTTGCTGCGCCAGGATTTTCATATTCCTCTGACCACTGTCCGCGGGTTACTCCCTCGCCTCATCTCTGAGATGTGTATAAAGTTTGCCCTGTTGAAGGTATTCCCAAGGCTTGTTTCCGTACTCCCGAGCAGCTGGCCCTTAGGTCGGCATCCCATGCTCGCATAGAAAATGTATCCCCATTCTATCTAGGCATCATTTACAATCTCTTCAGGTAGTCCATGTTTATGACATGTGGGTCCTTTTCAGTGAATGATCGGCCTATTGAACCCTAAAGCAGCAGTTTCAGCAACAATTTATGCCAGGAAGTCGGACCAAGACATCGACGTACAACAGTATTAAGTTGATATATCACGCCTGCGCCAAATCCTAACATAGCCTATTATGTTCCTACCTGAAAGCAACTTTTGAGACACCTAGCCAGAAAGAGAAGCCCCCCTCCCCTCCTAAAATTACACATGCCCACATCACTTTGATGACTCACTTTATCAGATTTACCCCAAATCGATTTCTGTAGCCAAACAAACATATACGCCAGGAATGAACACGACCAGGAGATGGGAAATCTACAATAGAAAGAACGAAAGAAAGAAAGAAAGAGGATCCATTCGATCACCACCAAGATATGGGTCCCAAGCCGGCCATTTGCATCGAACCCTGCCTAGCCGTTAATATATGATAATCCATCCCCCACGAGGCACACAGACTTAAATCGATGGGAGTCAAAAGTGAAACGTACAATGATTGAATATGGTGGTTTCCGTTCGATCACGGCGGCGCCATCGCCTAGATCGGGGGCGTTGGGGATCTGATCATGCCACTCCTCCATCTCTACGCGGAAACGGACGACCTCTCCGACATCGAAATAAAATGTCGAGCCGTCTTCGTTCTCCCAGATCCAGACTTGATCTGCGTAGTCGCTATTTGTCCTTGAAGTTAGTATGTGGTGGGAGGTGGGGACGTTATTGGAGAGAGGATGGGGGCTGGGTATGAGGGAAGCAGAAGGCAAGGGGGGAGGACTTACAATCTGGCTCCGTCGAGGAGGAGATCGGGAGGGACGAGGATATCGTTGAAGAATTCTACACCGACTAGAAGGGAAAGAACCCATGTGTCAGAAGTAGGAAAGGGCGTCAAGGCGAAGAGCATGGGCTATAGTCGAAAGGAGGCGGAGAGGGAGGGGGAAAAGCCCACTTTTGATGCCATGTTCAGTAGCACTCGAGATCTTTCCGAGCATGATCTCTCCCTTGAAGGGACGGAAGACGATGAGTCGGAATTTTACTGCCATCCGAGGTCAGAAAGGGAGCTTCTGCATGTTGAGGAAGAGGAGCCTTTACCGTTCACATTGACGAGTCCGGTTCCATGGCCGATAAGACCGTCCGAGGACTCGAGCAGGTCATAGAACCCAATGCACAGACCGATTTTTTGGATCACCTGTCCCATGAGGTTTTAGTTCATGTAGCATATATGCTTTGAACACTCGAGGGACGGGGTAGGGGTTGGCAAGGGTGAACTCACTTTATTGGCATACTTCTCGTTGATATTATCTTCGAGGGCCACAGCGCTGTACTTCGAGAAATCCTCGGGGGAGATCTGGATGAGATCGGAGACAGTGGTCTGTGGAAACCCGGTCAGTCGATGTTACTTTTAGGTCAAGCACAGTTACTGCAGTCAAGGAGAGCACATGGTTTTCAAGGAGACTGACAAGGATGAACATGCTGGGCGAGGATGCGCACACGGCGTGTTGGTGACGGAGCCCGGGAATTTTTTTTCTTTCGTCCCAATCGAGTAATAATTTAGGTAGGAGTACAAGACACGAGAACAAGTCAAAACCTCAGAGGATGATGGGACACAGTTCCATACCCCGTTTTTGCAGGTCGTTATCAGATTCTTCTCATGAAACTAAACAGATTCACCCCTCCGACGCCATGTCAGGGCATGTAAAGATCACGACTCAAACAATATCCGATTAGCTGCATGTGATAAGATGCAATTCCCACCACTGGCAGGCGGCATATCGGCCTGAATTTTCTGCCTGAGGGCAAACCGCCGCCACCTCCGAGGCCGATATCCTATCACGTGACCCTATTTGCAACTTGATGCGTCCTTCGGAACGGAAGAATCTCGGCGGCCACTGCAGCGAAAGGTCCCATCCGCCGCCGCCCATTTGGTTATAAGAAGTAGCGCCGAGCTCGACCTCGCCGCCGCTCTTAGATCCGAGAAAAAGAGAATGGCGTGCATGCTGGCTGTCTCTATCACCTTTGGAAGATTGATCGAGGCCTTTTCACCATGAACAACAATCCTCAGGGGTTCTCTTTTCCTCCGCCTCCCCCTCCTCCCCCTTCCTCCCAGCACCAGCACCCGCACCAGCACCAGCCGCATCAGTCGCCACACCAGCAACACCCGCATCCGCAACAGCAATACCACCATGGACACAACGCTGCTCCCTATGCAGCACAGTACAATGCGGGCTATGACGGTCAACAACGCGGCGGCCGCGCCCCCGGTGCACACTATCGAGGTCGGGGGAGAGGAGGCTACGGAAGCCATCACCGTGGCGGCGGTGGAGGGGGTGGACGTGGCGGCAGCCATTCCATGGCACCCGATATGAATGCCAATCGGGGATATTCGCCTGCGGCTGTCGCGGCCACCGGTCCTGGGTCTGTCGGCGGCTACACACCGATGAATTACGCGGGATACACGCCTCAGCCTCACGCTCCCACTCCACAAGCAATTCCGACTCCCCAGTTCGCGCCTACGCGGTCGCCCAATTTCCAGCATCGTACTACAGCTGCACCATCCTTCAACCCGCCCCAACCGTACGTCCCAGCGCCCGGAGCACACGTTCCTACTCCGTCTCAAACCCAACAGAACTACCCTGTGGCCGCTGCACAACCTGCTCCTACATACCCTCCCACCGTACCTTCTCACAACCATGCTGCGCAAACGGTCCAGCCCCCACTCATGGGGCCGCCTATGCGCTGGGGATTTGACAATTTGGGATCGACGGGAAGCTTTTCCGGAGGGCAACGCGGGCACCAGCGAGGTGGACGCGCCTTCAACCACAACCATCACAATGTCCAACCAGATAAGCAAAGGAACCACGGCAATAAACGGGACCATAACTCGGCTTTTGGGCGCCGACCTCAGACAAGTGCGCCTCGAGTTGCGGCACCACCACCGGTCCCTAGTTTTGGAAACCCTCTGCTGCCCTCCAAACCACCCCCAACGGCTGACGCCGCTCGAAAGCCAAAGAAGAAGAAGAGAAAGCATAACCAACTTGGTTTGACGCCGAAAACGGAAGAGCATGAGTCTAGCGAAGAGGAAGACGGCGTGGATGAGGAGGCACGGCTGGCCGCGGAAGGAGGGGCAGCGAGCGCTTCTGCGCCTCTGCAATTTACCTACAGGGGACGAACTTCGACGTTACAGTCGCCTGAGGACATCAAAGCGTGGATCGAAGAACGGAAGAAGCGCTTTCCGACCCAGGCGAGAGTCGAAGAGAAGAAGAAAGCCCTGGCGGAGGCTAAGAAGGCCCGAGAGGCGTTGCGGCAGAGGAGGTTGCAGCGACAGGAGCAGAAAGCCCCGGAGAAGGATTCAAAGAACCAGAAAGAGCGCGAGCAGCAGGGCCAAAAGGACGGGCAGAAGGATCCTAATGATCCTGTCGATATTGCTGCGAAGGCCAAGCTCAAAGCGGACAAGCTGCGGCGAAAATTGATTAGAGAAGAAAAGCGGGTCGCTAAAGCTGAAGCCGATGCTGAGAGGGCCCGTATCAAGGTGGAGGAACTCCAAAAGAGTTCAACAAGCACATCCGCCGATCAGGCTCAGCCTGTTGCCCCAAGAGAAACTGCCCCGGATCTTCTGATCAAGCCACCCGAGCCCACTACGCTACCAGCGGGTGCCCCAGCCGCGGAGCAGGTTCCTGCAAATGATGCAAACGCACAGGTTGCGGGAATTCAGGTCGACGACGGAGCCAGCGTATCGTCCCTAGACGACTCTGATAGCAGTGACTGGACATCTTCCAGCGGATCTGAATCATCTTCTGAGGGTTCTGATGACAGCGACGATGATGCTGCACCCGAGGAAGCCACATCCAAACGCGAAGGGCCGGAGCGAGTGCCACCGCCGGCTCGCGAACCGAAGAAGAAGGTATGCCGGCATTTTGCCCGTAATGGCCGTTGTTTGCATGGGAATCGGTGCAAGTTCTCGCATGAACTGCCCGAGCGAGGAGCCAAAACAAAACACGCGGAGCAAAAGGGACGAAAGGGACTTCTTCAAGCGGTAAGTGTTCTTTGTCGGACTCCCAAGTCCCGCACATCCCAACTAACAGGCACAATCATCAGCTTTTGGATCGTCAAAAAACCGAGGATGACCGTAAGGTGATGGAGGCAATTGTTTGGCTTGGCGAGAACGGCATGCTCGATACACCGAAGGAGCCAGCGGACAGCAACGGCGCGACATCTCTAGCCGAGGAGGTGAAAGCTGCGCCCGGAAATGAGGAGCGCCAGGAGGATGAGGAGGTGGCAGTGGTGTCCGCGAGTACGGCTCCCGGACAGGGGGCCGATGCCGCTGCTACTCCCACGACGGCATAGATGAAGATGACTGCATAACTTATAGTTAGACGTTATTTCCAGCGCCATTGCAGCGGTAATGCAATATACATACATTCATACACACTTCTCATGTTTACTATACAAAAAAACAATTGGTAGACCACACTTGCTATGCCCGGTACGGGGGAGCATGGACTGACCGACTGACTGACTGACTGACGCCCGACACCATCCCGCCAAGTCCAGCAGCTGCTCTTCGCGGGCTTTCCCCACTGAGTCGGCTAGATCTCCTCTTAACGGAGCACCCTCTGGACTCTTCGCACCTGTATCTAGTAGGTTGTACGGAGTAGTTGCCCTACCGTACATCCTCCATGCTGTACCTGTCCTTGCAGTGACTGACCCACTCGGACACTCCGAACTGCGCGCCCGCGGTGGTGGGAAATGGAAAAGGACGAAGGTAGATTCTATCTTCTCCTATTCCTCCGCTCCCGAAAATAGCCATGTGGCTTCCCTGGGTAAAGGCTATACGGAGTCCTCCTTTGTATGCCTTCGCACTTGCAAGCTCGATACGAGATGCGATGCTCGGACGCATAAGACTTGTCTGTGTCTGTTGGGATGGTTGTCATTGTCAGTGCCCAGTGGGCGAGGAGACCTGATTTTTTGGCGGGAGAGCGTCCCGGAAAAGGGAGGGAAAGCGGATCAGATGTCGCGGGCGTTGAGCACGGAGGGAGGGGGGCCCTCCTTTCAGGAAGGGAGTTACTTCGGATATCATCATGATCATCATCACCTGCCTTTTTATTTAATGAGAGGAGACTGGTGCGGGGAGGCAAGTTGGTTAGTTTGGTACGAGCGTTAAAAAGACGGACGGGAGGTCGGATTCGTGCCATGCGGACGCTCCTTTACCAATTTCGGGTGCGATGGAAGTGGACGGGCGAATCGTTGCTGGAGCTGCCAGGTGGCTGATCTATGCAATGCGACTCATCTTGAGGAGCCCAAGATTGCACAGTACTACCTACAGGACTCCATGACTGTAGACTTTCTGCAATCTACAATCGAGCTGAAGTCGAAAGTAAGTCAAGTCAACCTAACGCATTGCGATGAGATGGGATCAAAGTCTCGATCATGTCTCACTCTTAATCGAGGGTCGAGGGCTGTTGAGGGCCAGGCTTCTTAGGTTAGACTGCTTTGACCCTTTTTTTTAAATACATCGATTACAAGATCGGCTATGGTTCAGATATTTCTACTCGGTATGTAAGATAAGATACCCTGCCGAAGTTGACATCCATCACCATTCGCCCAAAATAAGTCACAGCCATGTGTGTGCAACCAATGCGAACCACGGAAGCATCATGGATGGCCACATTCCTGCCAGTCCAGCTGAGATGGCGATTTCAGTTCGGAAATTCCGCCCGAGCACCCTCAGAACCCTCCGAACCAGCGTTGATCCCGTACCCTTGCCGGTCACGGTACCGTATCGTACCCAGAAGTAAGGTACCAGGCACCGCCCAATGGGATGGGGACGGTGGGCAAGCGGCTAACAAACCTTGCGCGTGGAGTGGAGACTCACCGAGGGTTCAGAAAAAAATCAAAATGATGTTTTTTAATCTTACAGCCACTAAACTGATCAAATCAACGGTGACTTAACGACGGAGGGTCCACTTCTCCTAGTGTCCAGACTCCAGACTCGAGACTCACTCACTCTACGGGACGGAGTAGGGTCCATTGCTGAGAAAGCAGACTTGGTAGGACAGAACCACAACGATCTCAGTCTAGATCCCAATCTTCTGACTGAGGGGGTTCTATCAACTTTTTCCTTCATGAATATACTTACTGTACGGAGTATCGTACGGATAGTGAGTCGTGATTCCGTGGTAGCTCAGGGTTTTCCTAGTACTAGGTACTATTCTTAGGGGGAGTATCTAAGCTCAATAAGGACAAGAGAACTGCAACCAACCATGGCGGACTCTCGATCTATTGATGATTTGACTTTCCACTTTCATCGCCACGGACCGGAGGGGGGCAAAGACTGGGGACTTGGGGACTCTTGGAGACTTGGGGACACCCAATGCAGGCTAGTTTTGTAGGAGATGGCCCGGCACGCTAAAATCAGGTCGACAAACACAGTCCCAAACTACTCGTGCTTTGCCTGGCTGTCAGTTGCTTTGCTGCATTGATCGGATCTGTTTATTAGTCCTTGGCCTTCCTCTCTCTCCTCCTTTTCCTTCCTTTCTTTTCTTTCTTCCTTTTCTCTCCCTTCCTTCCTTGCTTCCCTTCTTGTGCGACAGCCAAGTTCTTGCTTCCCTCCTCCGTTCATCAGCTCGTGTCTACTACTCACCCGGTTCACTCTTTTCTGACCGTCTGACTCCAAGTCGCATCTCACTCACTTTCACTCTTTATCCCCAATTCATCCCATCTCATCCTTCGGTCTTGCATCGATAAATATCCCTTTCGGATTATATCAGATTCCATTGTCTATCTTAATCCCTCGCCCCGCATACACTTATCAAGATGCGTTCTATGCTCTGCCTTGCGCTCGGCGCCATTGCTACTCTCGCCAATGCGGCCAGCAACCCCTTCAACGTTCCCGAGGGTGGCTACACCTTCACGGCCGGATCCCCAACTACTCTGACTTGGGATGCCAACTCCAATGGAACCGTCAGCCTGAGACTCCAGTGGGGCGCCGTCTTCACCACCTCCTCCGGTGACAGCCTTGCCGGTGAGTATTCGCGGCCGCACCAATCGTTTACTACCAAGTATTGACTCCCTGTAGCGGGCGTTGCCAACTCCGGTAGCTTTACCTGGACTCCTTCCGCCAGCCTGGTCAGCAGATCCGATTACGCGATCGAGATCATCAATGATGAGGACACGGATGACATCAACTACACTCCCCGCTTCTCCATCGCCGGTGTCACCGGCGTTGTGTCCACCTCGACGGTCAAGTCGACGACTTCCAGCTCCTCGACCACTTCCTCTTCTTCCAGCGAGAAGACCACTGGCACCGCCACCACTCTGTCGACCGTGACCAGCACTGGCGCCGTCTCTTCTACTTCTTCGGGTTCTAACTCCACCGCTGCGACTGCCTCCAAGACTTCCACCGCGTCCTCTTCCTCTGGCTCGTCCAGCACTTCGGGCACCACCTCTGCCACGGCCTCTAGCACCTTTGCCCCCGCCAACGCCGGCGTGGTCAACCGGGCGTCCACTGGCATGCTTGCGTTGATTGTTGCCGCTATCGCTCTGGTCTAGAGGGCGGTCGAGAACGAGAACCATTATCGATCATGGTTGACTTATACATGACTCTTTTCCGCTTCTAGTACATAGCTTTTGAGCGCCTTCTTTCACGCTTTGACCATCTTCACTTCTCACACCCCTGTTTTTCTACCCTACAACTTTTCCTCCACTGCAAGATGTCATTGTCAAGCAATTCTCGAGTCAGAGAACCTCTTTTGATATGGGACGATGCTGTGGTATTTTCCATTTACAATTATCACTCCACTGTTATACTCCGGCTGGGCGGAGCTAATGGTTTTGAACGTCGATTTGTATGGTACGAGGATGTAGATATGGATACTGTAATGAATGACACCGGTCTTCTTCAAGATGAGCACGTTCGAGGGGCAGCTGTCACGAGGGATTATCTCCGGGGGAGGCGTTTGCAGGAATGTAGGTGACAGGCAGGATACCTCGGTAACGGCGTCGTGCCGCAACCTGCCGGGGCATGCGGTGTACCTGCGTCGCCTGCCGACAGTCCACCAATCCCCGCATGGTAGGCAACCAAGCATCACAATGCCAGTCTAGTTGCTATATAGTACATGCTATAGTGTATGTAAGCTGACCCTAGGCGGGGTGGGGCCACCAGCACCAGCACCAGCAGTTAACTACGGAGCACCGTACGGATTTCACCTATCCCACCCTCCACAAGAAGGAACCTGGGAGGGAAACTGGCAGACGGCAAGAGGAAACAAAGAAATGAACAATAGGATGATAGAGAAAATAGAACGGAGCCTCCAGGACCAGCGCCCACCAGAAGCAATTACTCAGTCAGTGTACTACGCCTAGTTCCATTGGTGGACGCCTGGAGGGTAAATCATTTCAATAATTGACTATTATTATACTCGAGTAGAGAGTAAACAAATCAGACCGTTAAAACGCTCGGGTTCTTCCATCTGAAATGGCTGGTGGGCCTCAAACCGGAAATTAAAGCGCTCTCGGGCCCAGAGGGGGGGGGGGCTGAGCTCTGTGAGTGTGAGGTATTTTGACATACCGTACGTGTACAGTAATCGCACCATAGACATAATGGGTATTGCAGCGGTACAGACTTACGGTATGTAAATTTACCTCCTTACACGGTCACGGTGGTTGGTGACTTTCCTCGCACGATGCATGTACTTTATAATGAATAGAGTACGTACCTATTGATGATTCAGATATGGGAGGCAGCAGCAAGCAACAGAACTCAACGCTTGGGGGGAGGATTGGACTGGTGGAGAAAGCGAGCGAGCGAGGACACGAGCCCACCTCTTCTGTGTGGAACTGGTATCTATCTCCGAGGCCATCATTTCCCCCACCTGACTTATATACACCCCATTCTAACCGAATCCAGCTCGTTCCTCCATCTAGTCGTTCTCCTTTTGGCCCGAAAGTCCGCCGCTAGCTTTGTAAGTTTATCTCATTTCCTCCGAGGTCACTTTCCTTCCAAATGTTAATTGAATTTACGAAGTAGTGGTTGCTCAAGCGTTTGTCCATCGGACTGGGATTATGGTTCTACGCTGATTGACTTGCTGGTTGGCTTCAAGCACAAGGGAATCTGTGGACGTCTTCCTGGAAGAGCAAGATCACCTACCGTTCTGACTGAGCATGACCATGGCCACTGCTAAGAGATGCTCGGTTACAATCAGCAGGCTCTAGTCAAGCTAGGGCGTGATTTAGTCCTGCTATGACTCTATGAGTCCTTAGTGCTGTAGTATTCCGTATAGTGGTTCGATCTCTAGGGCAAAGGGGTGGATCGGATCCCTCTAATAAAAGATGAATTATGAATGCCATTGCCGACGGCCTCCAGATCCCCCCACGCTACCTACCTACCTACCTACCAACCTTCGCATCTAGCACTATTGATACCTGGAGCGGTCCCATTGGGAAAAGCTTAGTTCAGTTACACGGGCTTAGCTCTGGTTAAATTAGTTCTAGTCTACTGGGGTTGTTCGTGGTTCGTCGAATTAACTACTTACTACCTTAGGTGGGCAATGCTCCTCTTGGACTCTAGTTAGCCATACTATCGTGCGCATGAGGGGTGTTTCTTGCATATGATGGCGTCTTCGGTTTGCTGGCTGGTGGGGTGCGTGGTTGGCGAGGAACGGAGGTACGGTTTGAATACCGTTTCTCATGGTTTGGCAGTATTGCAGGTGGGTCTGTGCCATTGCTTTTCGCTGGTCTGGATGGGTATACAGATGCGAGATTGAGAAAGGAAAAAAGGAAAGAAAGAAAGAAAGAAAGAAACGCTTGTTCTTTCTTGTAGGGTCGATGCAGACAGGGAAAGTACTACGTTTAGCTTTGCCGGTTTCCTTGTGCATACTGTGGTCTGTGGATGCACGAGGGAGACTCGATCGATTGAGCACTACGTATTGGGCGGTGCGTTCGAGACAGGTGGTCTAGGAGCCTAGGGTTTAGGACAAGAGAAGGGTTGAAGAGTGAGCTTGCCGTAGTAGTAAGGAGACATTTGACTGCGTTCTTGTTTCTTGTGCTTTGTAACTTATGATAGGTTGTGGGTTGGTAACGGTTCTTATATTGACTACTTAGGGTGCGCATAAGCATGGATGGTGGAAGCTCGGAGGCAACTCATCGCATTATAGAATCCCTGGGGCTGTTATAGTACACAGGAAGAACAATAGGGTTCCTGTCAAAAAGGAGGATCGAATTGTCCAGCACACTGTAGAGGAAATTATATAGGATAAGAGGATGTAGGTAGAATGTGATGAGAACGGCAGGAGGTATGACCACACAATTTGATGACCACAACCTAAAACAGCAGAATTGCCTAACCTTTTGCATTGCCCATGCATCTTTCCCCGCATAGGGAGCGAGTTGACCCCCGAATCAACAAAAATAATGGCCAATTCCTTCCGGAATCGTAGATTCTACTGCCAAAATAAATGTCCCGAGGGAGGTTCGAACTCCCGGCCTTGGGATATCAAGGAAGTTGAAGCTTCCATGTCATACTGCGTATGAGACCCACGTGATAACCAACTACACCATCGAGACAACTTGTTGGAAAGCGTCAAGTTATTTATGACTATATACAGCTACCGTGCTCCGCCACGGAAAGATTCTTACTTGCAATAGGCTTGCATCCCGCGGCGGACAATTAACACCAACTACAGGCACTAAATTAAAGAAATTACATGATTGAAAGATCGTCTATTGGCACAATGTGATAATCCATTCCGGGAAGTCCAGGTTACGCTTCCTTCGAGCAACGAGATGATCCATAAGCTGTACAGGCTCTATCAAGTGTCTCAAGCACTACCAACAGGAGCCGCGCTTGTGGCACCGCGACTCGCCAGTGTCGTTTGCTGTTCGTGCTGTGGCTGCGCTGCCTTGGGGCGCCATTTGGCCAGCACCTTGCCAGCAGCGGGGCGTGATTCCTCATCTGCGTTACGACAAATTAGCTTAAAAGACGAACAGGTAGCGAAGAACACGGAACGTACAGGTCTCGTATACATGCTCCAAGGCATTGAGACATATCTCGCGGGCCGGTGGTCGAAACATGATTAGATACCTGGTGACGGTCAGCATAAAGGGTCCCCGAGTTTCTCAGCAGTTGACCTACAGTAGTGATTGAACGCATAGATTGACACGCTCGGGGTCCTTGGCAAGACTAGCGACCCGCTGTGTGATGGGTATTGTCACCTCCGGAATCTCACTCAAGAAGCGGATGAAGATCTTGGTGTCTCGTGAATCGATATATGGCAAGAACCCATCCAAGAGTCTCAAGACCCAGTGGTCATAAAACAGCGGTACAGTAGCTTCCTCGTCCTCTGGCCTCCGCTGCGAGGCAGTAAACTGCATCTGTACCCGGTCATTGTACCACTCTTCGTTCAACCACATGATGCCCACATTCACCCGGCCCCGGAAGTCCTCCAAGATGTACCGATATAGAGTCTCCCGGATTGTATTAGAGATCGTTGCCTTGCCTCGACTCGATGCGTCTTGTCCGAATTTCCCTGTCCCCGTTTCCAGGCCTGCTGGAGCTCTTGTGGCAAGTCGGGTGAGTAGAGTGACCCAAGCGTCTCGATCGAAGGTGCTACCGGCCAATCGAGCAAATCCCGGCTGCTGCTGATTCTTTCCCTTCGCCGGATTCGAGGCGACTGCACTAGCCGCTAGCATACCGAATACTCTCCCGACAGCACTGCGACCAACTTCTGCAGCCTCGGCCTCTGATAGTGGGGGGGGCTGAGGTAAGACGAACGGTCCCAATGAGACAAGATCTGGCTGAATTTCTGCTACTTCGGCCGCCACAGCATCCGCCTGCTCGGACGCCGGTTCTGCAACGTCCATAGGTTGGTACTCTGGCTCGTAATCGTCGTCATCGTCGGCAGCCGCTGCCGCCGCCGGAGCCTGCGCGGCCTGTCGCTTCTGAATTGTCTCGTAGCGCATGCGAATGGCCTATTGCCGGGTCAGTATATTGCTTCTGCGTCCTGACGTCTTGACCTACATCGATAGACTGGGTCAACGCCGACTGATCCACTCGAGCGAGAATGGGAACGACGATGTTGACAAGGAGATCTGGAGGTAGTTGCTTGACATCAAAGCGTGAAGCTTCAGCATCCTCCGTCAGGGTAAAGAGCTGCGAGTAACTGGTTGGGCCAGGAGGAAGTGGCGGGATTTTGACCAAGGGCGGCGTCTCTGCGTCGAGTTTCGTTCGTTTCGTTTTGTCAAGCCCGTCCGTGGGTTCGGCAGGTGGTCCACGTTTCCTTGTTGCGTCGTCGACGATCTCGAGGCGTGAGTTCTTCAGCCGATCGACGTGCTGTTCCATCTTACGAAAAAATGGATGGTTGGCATTCCTAGACAGTCTTCAGCACATAGTACAGGTTGACCGTACATCCTTGTCTCACCTCTTCATTATATGTTCGAGAACGGCCCTGGCGGTTCTTTCCATCGATTTGACTCCGACCCGGACAGCGGGAGTTATGGGTGGGCGTACTTGTCTCGCAGGGAAGAAATTCATGATCGCATTGATGATTTTGTTGCCGATGGACTGTCGACTGCGGATGAGGACTGCCAGGCAGTTCAGCGTTGCGTTCACGAGGATGGGATCGCTGCGGAGACATTAGCAACATTCCCAGAAGTTCCCAGTTCTCGGTCAAGAGAAAGTACCTCGATTCTTCCTGCAGAGCAGACAGAAGTCTATCCAGAAGTCCAGAGGCTTCTGCCTCGAGGTTAGGAAGTGACAAAACGGGATGATTGCGAGGCACGATAGCCAAGGAGGTTTCGTTCTGGTCAGGTCGCTAGGCAAGAAAGGAACAACCATTAACTTTCAGATCGCACAAAACACCTCTGACCGGATCCTGCGTACGTACTCTAGGGTCCGCGATCGGTCCATGGGTCTGCACTTGAACCACGCGTTGAACGAACTTGATGCAACAGATCTTGACCTGCGAAGGGAAGGAGTCCCATCGCCGCAGGATACCTTGTTTGATAGCGGTCATATTCTCCCACATGGCTCCATCTCGCGGATGGTTTATACTGCAGCATTGAAGTGTTAGTGGTTGCGCCTAACAAGAAAGACAATTTAGGCATCACGTCTGCTTCATGCGAGCGTCTACGAAGGCTTTGTTTCCCAGGGAGGGGGGGGTCTCGGGGCAGTGAACAACAAGCAAACGCCGGTGACCTACATATGCCTAAACACCAACGGATACAGACTGGCAGCACTCTGCACTATATGTTTCAAGACCAAGGGATCTCCTTCCGGTAACTCCAGTATCTCGCGCTGCGCCTGTAGGACGTTGGCGGCCAGCTGCTCCTTCTGCGTCGAAGCCAGCGCCGGGCTAGAAAATGTTTCGGCCAGGAACTCCGCGCCCCATCTCCGCAGTTCTAGTCGCGCACGCGATCCGATTATAGGAAGAACACCGTTCACGATCTGGGGGTAGAAGGCGGCATCGCCCAGAACGAGATTGCGGGCAGCATTAAGCTGCGCGATCTGATCGACGAGATGATCGGCCGATTGAGCCATTACGACTCCGTTCAGCGGCCGGTGGTAACGGCCTAGCAGGAGACGGGCGAGCGAGGCGGGGTTGGCAGATTCAATGCTGATTGTCACCGGTCAAAGCTGTCTACGCAGGGAAGTTAGGTGCCAAGGCATGGAGCTTATAACACGGCCGCGACGACTATTTGTCCCCGAGACACATACGAGGCGTAGAGAATGTCGGAAATGGTCGCTGAGAGAGACGTATGCAAGAGATCCCGGGTCGATTGAAGAGATGAGAATTGCTGGCGAAATCAAAGGTGGATGGCGGTGCAGGGGGGGGAACGAGGAGAGGAGAGGAGAGGAGGTTAAACGCGGAACTGAATTGATTGTATGAAGAAGCCGAGACCCAGACAAAGCCAGGCAAAGTCACGCTCCTCCCAGTCACGTGCCATGCCTCCCGCTCATGGCAGCTGGCAATCATCACATCATACAATGATAACGTGCACTGCCTGCAAAATAAACATTCTGTTCTATGTCTTTCGGAGGCTGCTGTGAGAATAATGCTTGAGGATCACATATGACCTGTCAGGTCATGCATATTGACTTGATCACGAAGGCCAGTTGACGTACTATAAGAGGCGAGGCAGCCAATCGTACTATATATTTTTAGTACAAGATACTACACAGCATTCAGGGAAGTCATACCCAACATACGCTAGTACTGCGTGGATATAGACGGTCAGTATGGGAACCCAAACACAGTGAGCCCTGCTCATATAACAACCAAATAAGATCAAAACCCACCGACATAATTGTCTTCTATAAGTAGTAGTGTATCCCCCGCAGCGACGGACAACTGGTCCGGCCGGCCAGGAACGCCAAGCCCGGCGGCATCCCATCCAATTTCTGGAGGAGGAATCCAGACTGTCATCTAATCTTTCGGCCTTTTACGATCGGATCGTCTTTCGTTCCTCTTTCCTTCATACCCTTACAACCCCGATCCATCCGGTGATAACTCAAGACCGAAGCACTCTTGTCAAAATGGCCTCTGGAATGTATGTTCTCCCTTTCCCCCCCCGCCATTCCCTCTCTTCCAAATGCGACAGTCAACTCAACCCAACCCCGGCAATCATGCCACCGTCTCGCCGCGAATTCACGAAACCGTTTCATGAGAGCACAGTCAGAACATACTGACACCGATTCCTGCCGTTTACAGCTTCAACTCCACCTACTACGGCAAGGACTACCGCGCCGGAGCCGCCCTCCTGCGTGCCCGCCGGCCCTACCTCGTCAAGAACGCCATTACCGGCCTGTGCCTCGTCGGATTCACCATTGGTGTCTGTATGTTCATCCACAGGTCCTCCCTCGTGCTTGCACCAGTCTCCCATCGATCTCCAAGGAGCTGGAGCTAACCATCAACCTCCCAATTTCTCCAGATGCCTACACCATCCGCGCCGTCGGCCAGGATGAGTTCTCCGACGTCAAGGTCCCCGAGACCCCCGCCAAGCCCCAGCAGAAGCAATAGACGGATGTCCACAGACATCCCTTCCTCTTCTCCTGCTTGGATGCAATTGGTTGCAATCGCTTGAACTGTTGGGTGCTATCGTCGCAGAGAAGAAATAACGGAGCGTGTGGTCGTGGAGTTGTATGGTAATCTTCCTTTGCGCGTGGGGCTATCATCGTCCGGGCCCGGGTTGGCTGTGCTTGCATTGGCTTCGCCTAATTTCAAAGGACTCATATACATACCATACACCGAAGCCTGGTTGCCCGCCGGAAGATGGTGTACATCCCTCGCACTACTGGTACGACTCCACGGATAACCGCAAGCGATTGAAGCCCGGCCAGTTGTCAGATCAAGTTCAAGATTATTCGGTATACCGCAGATCAAGTGACAGGCCCACAAAAGATACGTTCAAACAGCAGGAGTGCTTCCGCAAATCTTTCCCGCTTGTCATTGACACTCATCTCTGCTCATTTATTCCCCCTCAAAGTTTAGCTTCTGTTTTATGATATAGGTTTTATGTGTATGTTATCCAATCCTGAATCGGTGTTTCCGTCTGCGCTCTTGCCTCAGCAGGTAACAATGTAGACTTTTTTATACAATCGAGCCGCTCCACACTATGATGAGGTGAAGCTGCACAGCTAGTTTGGCTTATGTCGTCGATCAAATACAGGTTATGATGAAACATCTAGTACACAAGGGATCACTTTCATCGTCCCGGATACTCTATCTGCTACATGAACAACAAGCAACAACCCTCCCCTACTCGGTTCTCAGAACACGAGGGCCCTTCTTCTTGGTCGCACGCTTGCGCTTGTGGCCGCGGTCAAATGCGACTGCGTTGCTGTGGTCTCGGTTCAGGTTGTCCAAATCCTTGACCTTGTAAATACGGATGATCCAGTTCTCACTGGTGAAGGCCTCCTCGAGGGTGGACAGCTGGGGTCCCTCCGCCGGGAGCTTCGCACCACGGACACGGTCCACGGCCTGACCGCCCTGGAACATGGTGTGGTAGTTGTAATAGGACATTTTGTACCTAGCTCATCGTTAGTGTTTGCTCCCAATCCCAGAGAAGGATATCCTTACATCAAGCTGTTGCGCATGGTAGGTGTGGCTTGATCATCTACACGGTATTCACCGCGAGCAGTGAAGAAGTCACGCTCCTTGACCTCATCCGGCCAAATACCTTCGGCGATACGAACCATCCACAGGAACTTGTTGATATCGTCACCGGAGTAGCCCAGCAATCCACCGAAAACCACCAGGACGTAGTCGACATCGTGCTGCCGAAGAATGGGGTAGCTGACCTCCTCCCGAGAGCTCATCGCCTTTCCAACGGTGGCAATGTGGGTGTTGTTCCAGGTGTTGTTGTCAACGAGAGTGGGGCGGTCAGCCATACCACCGATTTGATAGCCATAATCCCACCAGGACATGACCTTGGCATTGTGCGGAGTGTTCTGGCGGAGCCAGTAGTAGGCCTCACGGTAGTCGTCGATGATGTGCTGGCTTCCATCCGGCATCCGGCTGGCCAGAACCACGGATGGGGAAGAGTAGGCGTTCGAAGTGACCCAGGTGCAGTGCGCGACGAACAGGAGAAGATAAATAATCGCGGACGATGTCACCACCAGCTTCGAGAGGTAGGATGTGACTCCAACGTCCGGCTTTCTTGCAGAACGGAGGGGCTCCGATGAGGTGTCCTCAACAACCTTCGCCTTGGGGTTGGGGCCTGGGCTGGCAAGAACGTAGGTATCAAGAATAGTGGAAAGAGCCAGGGCAGCAGCGACACAGACGATAGGAGTCAGCGTCAGCATCAGACGAACCATGACACCAGCAAAGTAACTGGCAAGAACGGAGTAGATGATGACGAAGACGTGCTCGTCCTTGAGATCACGGAAGCACATGTAGACACCGGCTGGGAAAAGCCAGATCAAGAAGTTGAGATCGAAGAAGAATGCTGGCCAGGCGGTAGGCTGGTGCTCCGAGACCGATGCGATGATAGGAATATGAATCTTTGCGTAACCAGTATCCCACAGCGAGTAGAAGCGACCACTCCAGGGAGCAATGACTCCAGAGACAGTGAGGACAACAAGTCCCACAAATGCAGCGCCGAAAACGACAATGATCATGGTAGTCAGGAGTCTCTGGAAATGCTTGCCCGGAATGAAGCCTCGCACGAAGTCGGCAAATGCCACCAGTTGAAGCAAGCCGAAGATACCGAGAGCAGACATGTGGTCACTGTTCCGGATGGGCAAGAATCCAACGAAAGGAATTTGCATGCTTGCCAAAGTGCCCAAAGCATACCAGGTGGTGTAACTGATATAGATGCGCGAGCTGTATCTACCCATGCAAAGGAGAACGAAGACATGCAGGGGAATCAAGTTGGTGATGAAAACATACCCTCCCCAAGCCGACACCATGTAGCCGTAGAACAGGGCAGTCAATGCACCCCACATGATAGAGCCATTTTTGACAGCCTTGATCCACAGGAAGAAGGTGAAGACGAGCAAGAAAATGGCGATGGCCTCGTTGTCATAGCTGCCAGCAACCGAACGAGAGATATAGCCAGGGACGATGCCCATGAAAGCAGCCGCAAGCAGTCCGGCAGATGGCGATGTGGACATCTCACAAGTAAGGAAGTACATCGCCAAAGCAGTCAAGCCCGAGAATCCAGGAGCAAGCAAGACACAAATGTTACGGATGTCAACGGGGATGGTCAGGAATCGCAGAATGTGGTAGATCACGCCGCTAGTCACCATCAGGCCGGGATATAGTGTACCACCCGTAACACGTCCCAGAGGGTGCCAGGTTCCTAGAAAGTTCGACGGTGGTCAGACTTGAGGATTGCTTGTCCAAGGACTTCGCCATTGCATTCTCTTGGAACAACGTTCATTGTTGGTGATGAAGCAACTTACTGTCGTCAAACCAGTCCCAGAAGCTGTAGAAGCCATGTTGAACCAAGTATTTGGTTGCCCTGAAATTGAACCAAGGATCGACTAGTAGGCAAGACCATATCAGTGTCAATTCCAAGGCGATGGAGCCGGATATGATGTGCAATCGCGGGCCGCGGAGTGAGCTCAAGGTGAATGTCGGGTAATACTTCAATAGGTCGGTCGGTGTGGGAGTAACGTACATTCGTGAATAATACTTTCAAAGCCTGACGTAGAGGCAGTTAGCAACTTCAATCGTATCGGTTAAATCGGTGCCAATGGAGCTGGTGGTACATACGAATAACACTGAACAATCGACTGGACACAGCGGCAGCGGCAATAGTTCCCAGAATGATAATCCGCAGTAGACCGCGAGTGTTCCTGCCGGTGTTACCCTTTAAAAGGACATTGAGGGGCGATTCGGCCATAATGGCCAGGAAGTAAAAATCAAATTTCCAATTGGGAAAAGTGATAAGCGAGTGACTCTCGTCCTGCCCAGGCGGTTTGTTGAGAGCAAAGTTGAAAGGGAGAGAGACCGGGGGAGATGGAGTCGAGGCTGGAGCTTCGCAAGGTGGTCTCTTCTGGGGTCTTGGCACGCCAGGTACGTAAGTCGCAAGCCGCCCGTTGCGGTTTTGGGGAAACCTCCGATTGTCCCCGCACCGCATCATTATCATTGCCAGCCAGCCAGCCAGCCATATCGACGATCCCGCTTCTACTCCCCTACACCACCGGTTTTGATCTGCTGCGAGGGTCGTAGTGTCACAGAATCGGGTTGTCAAGAATGAACACCCCGCAACTTTCGCAAGAGCAGCTTGCTGCAGCGATTTCATCGGCCGCTACACCGTCCAAGCTCTTCGACATACTCTCCCCATACGAGGAAGAAGCATATCTCCTCTCCTTTCAAGATAACAGACAGGCAGAGCTTCTGAGCCAATTCTATGCCGCTTACTTCTTGTCTCATCTACTGACAGATCAAATGTAAGCACTCCGATGTCGATCATCGATCACTTGTCAGAATTCTCACATATCTATCAGTTACGAAGCCCGCTTTCTGACGAAGCGAATGCCACAAGACCTTTTACAGACAGACGACTCCCTGCAAAACTGCGTGGCATTACTGCGGGCAATTTGGCAGCACAAACATGAGTCCGTCTACACGATATTGAGAGAGTTGCCATGGCCTGATACACTGAAGCCGATAGTACAGAGTTATGACAGTAAGTGACGATACCTTACCAGTGCATGTAATAGTATTCTCCGAATGCTCTTGCTCACATGCTCGAAGCATATTTCCAGGAAAAGACGTTGCGAGAAGTAAGCAGGGCATATGAAACAATCAGACCTGCAACAGCTGCAAGCTACCTCGGTCTCGACCCCGCGGCCACAGAGCGAGGAGACCAAGCCACGATAGGAAAGCTCATGGCTCATGGATGGACCCAGGACGAACAAACCAGACTACTACACCCCAACACTGTCGTTGATGACTCTCAGCAAGATGAGCAGCTGTACAACGATCTAAGTGAAATAATGGCCTTGATTGGCAGTCGTCGTGGTTGAAACCCTGCGGATCACTAGGGGATCGATTCCTCACGAATGAGACCATAACGATAATACCCTCTAATGAAGACTAAAGGCCGGAATATAAGAGACAAACGTGCAGAACAATGGTCTTCTAGCAAGCGTCCTATGAAGTACCATAAACGGCCTTTGAATGCCCCCCCAGAGCGGCACCACGCGCAAGGGCAGGAAGTCATGCAGGGGTACGCAAGCAGTACGGAAGGATCAGCAATGAAACCGAAGCATACAACTGAATCTCTTGCTCTTCTGGCCCAACTGTAGTGTACACATGCACGACAGCCCAGGGTATGTACAGATGCGGGGATGATGTCTATAGTGGAAAAAAGAAAATCATTCCTTTCGCTCGCAATGACACGACTCTGGGAAATTAGACCAACAAACAATAATACATAACCGGGATCATCCCGCAATCTCTCCTCGATACCTTGTCAGGTTCCGGTCGGGGGAGAGATAAAAGCAAATCATCTTCTCGCTGTATACTTCCAAACATATCTAGTTCTCACCGGCCTTCAGCTTCAGGAAAGCCTCAAGGTCAAACCGGCTGTCCTCGGGATCCGTAATCACTGCACACAGTCACCAATTAGCGTCCATCGGAGGGGGCCATGCTGGCCATTTCAAGGGAGGAGCGAACGCGGATGAATCGGGTTGTGCTGAGAGCTTAGGGGAGAGCGAGAAGAGACATACCGCCGCTGTTCGTCTTAGAGTCCTTGGGCGCCGTCTTCTTCTTCCATTCGGCCTTGGCCTGCTCGATCAGGCGCTCCTGGCGGGCATATTCACGCTCGGCCTCTGCGTGCTTGGCGGCGGAGGTGAGGGAGGACTGGTGGTAGAAACCGTAGACGAGACCGGTAATCAGAGCCGAGTAGCGGAAAACCTACAAGGTAATTGAATAGTGTCAATAGTTGAGGGCCATACTGGAGGGGGTGTGGTATTGGGTTGGCTGAATTGGGCTGGATTGGGATTGGAGTATGTATCAGAACGGGCCCTGGCGGAGACTCACGTTGACACCCTGAGAAGCCATGTTGATTGAAGAGAGTCCCTGGGCCTCCGGAGCGGCAATCAAACAGAATTAGTGAGAGAAGAAGGATCGAAGCCGGATTCCGAGCGACCGGTTTGGAGGGTATCGACAGTCAATGGCTGGCAATGCGGACTGGGATACTGAAGCTTGTAAAGACGAAGTTCCTGTCGCGAGTTTTTCCGGACCGTCGGTCCTGCTGCGCTTATGTCATCCGACCACTAACTAAGTTAACCCGGACTTTGGGCATTCTGGGATTCTGGGAAAAGCGGGACGGGGGGGAACTGGGAGAGAGGAGAGGAGGGAGGGTCGGGAACGCGACTACGGTAAGTTAAGAGGCCCCGTTCCACTCCCACCCCCCCCCCTCTCTTAATTACTTAACACTGGTACTCACCCCAAAAGTCCCGAAGTAAATAAAAGAAACAACACAACACAACCAATCCACCTTATTCTGTACCCAAACGTGGTCTGAACGGATCTCCTCCGTTCTTATCTACTAGGTGCATATTCATCTCACATTATGTCCTCGTCAATACAACAGCGCAAGGCTGAAATCCTTGCTAAGAAAGCCAAACTCGCCGAACTCAAGCGCCAGAGGGAATTGCGCCAGAGGGAATTCTCTCAGGTTCGCGCCAATAGCGGTGACGCCTCTGAGGTAAGAGGCCCTTATGCCCACTTGCGAAATTTCCCTTCTACTCGAGCTGGAAGACTTAGCTCTATTATTTACCTAGGTCGTATCGCCAGTCCCGAGTCGTGCAGACAGCAGAGCTGAGCTCGACGACTTCATTTCCCGTCTTGTCGACCGCCCCGGATCAGCTTCGATCGGCCACGGTGCCGATGGCCTCTCGCGCAAAGGCAGCCGACCAAACTCCGTCCTCAGCGCCAGCCAGTTGAGCGGAGATAACGCCGAAGCTTTCAGCCCTCCTGCGCGAACCGTTTCCCATTCAATCGCAGTCCAAACCGTCGGAACCGAGCTCTTTGTCGCCGCCCCCGAACCGCAACCTGCCCCTGAGCCTAAACCCGAAATTGTCACCTACAGCAAAGCAGTGCAAACCGATGATCTAAAAGGACCTGATGAGATATCTGTCGACTCCGATGATGAAGGTGATACGAAACGCTCCGGCAAGAAAGTCAGTGAGCTTGACGACGAAATTCTGAAGAAGCTTCGCAGAGAAATTGAGGAGGAACTGCAGACAGCTCAACGGAAATCCGAGAATGAAAATGGGTCTGAAATGGCAAAAATGCGGTATCCGCTGCGCACACTGGACGAAGATGAACTCAAAGCTGTTACCTCGTCGGACGACTTCTTAGACTTTGTTGAACGGTCGGCAAAAGTGATTGAGCGGGCATTGGATGAAGAATATGATGTTCTGGCAGATTACGAGCTTGGAGGTGTCGATGGCGAGCTGGATGATGACGACGAGCATGGCAAGAAGAGACGAGGTATCCGAGAGGTCTGTCAATTCTGGGATGAACGATGGAGCAAGAAACGCATGATCAGCGATTTGAGCTTCTCTCCAAAGGTCTGTCACGCGCGTCGATGCCGACTAATCGCAAAGCTGATTAATTCTACAGTTCCCGGAACTCGTTCTGGCCGCGTACACCAAGAACCCCTCTGCGCCCCATGAGCCCGACGGCCTCGTCCAGATCTGGAACCAACACCTGCACTCCCGCCCAGAGTATGTTTTCCATTCAACCTCCGACATATTGGCCGCGAAATTCTCTCCCTTCCATCCCAACCTGATCGTTGGTGGATCATATTCGGGCCAGGTTCTGCTGTGGGACACCCGTTCGTCGCGAGCAGGTGGAGGCGCGCCGGTTCAGAAGACGCCCTTGACCGGCTCCGGACATACCCACCCTGTTTACAGCATCTCGATAATCGGCACCCAGAATGCCCACAACATCCTCACAGCATCTACGGATGGTGTTGTCTGTGGATGGACTGTTGATATGCTCTCACAGCCTCAAGAGTATCTGGAGCTGTCCACACCTCCTCCGTCTAAAACCGAAGATCTTGCACCCACAACCATGTCATTCCCCCAATCCGACCCGACATTCTTCATTGTTGGCACCGAAGAAGGAGGAATCTACCCGTGCCACCGTTATGACCGAGCGGGGGCTAAGGCTGGTACCGACCATCGTTTGGCGTATCGTGGCCATGATGCGCCGATCATGTCCACTGCGTTCCATCCGGCACGCGGCCCGGTCGATCTGGGTGACCTATTGCTCAGCTCGAGTTTAGATTGGAGCGTGAAACTTTGGCGTGTGCGGCCCCCAGCCACGACCGCCCCGGCTACGTCGGCCATAGCCACGACTCAGGTCGTTTCTCCGATCCTTGAGATCAATCGCGAAGATGTGGTGTACGATGCCAAATGGTCTCCTCACCGCCCTGGAGTCTTTTCTCTCGTCGATGGTGCTGGCAACCTCGAGGTTTGGGATCTCTACACGGACACAGAGGTCCCGGCGGTGAAAACGACGCCTTCTAGAGGCCGCGGAGGCATTCTTACGAGGAGTCTCAACAAGGTGGCTTGGGAAGAGCGAGAGGGTAGACGCATTGCCACCGGTGGTCTCGACGGCGTGGTGACGGTCTTCGAAGTCGGCAAAGGCCTTAGCGGTACTCCGGAAGATGTGCGCTCAGAGGAATGGACAGGGATGAAGAAGCTCGTTGGACAATGGGAGCAGAAGGACCGCATGAACTGATGTGTCTTGGCTCCATGTCCCGATGATCTCTATGCTTAGTGAAGCATGGGTCAGCGCCACTTCGATTGCTTCGCCATGCTTTTTCACCCGGTCATCCCTTGCACTCAGCACTTCACCTCGCTATTTTTGATCTTCTTCATACCGATATGTACCAAATTTCGAGCGGCGCCTTGATTCACTTTCTCATATACCCCGCGGGCAGCTTGTTGTTGATGTATCTATGCATGTTTAGGGCAGGCGAACAGAGAAGCATCTTTCTAGAGTGTATAATAGGTAGCGATTGCACTTCTCAATGCGATCAGTCTTAGGTCGAATGCGTTCATAGTCCTTCCTCAATAAGGAAATTCTCGGCCCACAAGCTTCTCGCTCAGTCTCCAAAGTCTCTCAGCCTCGAAACTGCTGGTGGCCCATGGCTTGACCGTATCCACCAAGGGGTCAGCCACATGGCAATCAAGAAGATACGCCCCATTGACAGCTGCCATTTCGTTAGCAATCATGTGAGCACGGAACAGAGATCGATTGCCTACCCTTCAAACTCGGATCAAAGGCGGCATAGACATGAGTCGCCGCGCCCCTCTCGAGATTCTTCGCGTCGAATTCGTCCTTCCAACCTTCCCGATTACCAAGTGACCGGTCCACAGCCTCTATACACAAGGCAAATCATTAGCCGAGATGAGCCCTTTTCCCGCATCCCCAATGACACGAACAATAAAAGAGAGAGAGGGAGAGAGAGAAGAAAAGAATTGATCCTGCAACATACGAAGCTCCTTCATCCCAACACTCCAATCCACATCCCTATCCAGATTGGTAAAAATGACCCCGGGATGTAAACTGAACGCCTGTAGGTTACACTTCAACCCCAGCTTCTGCGCCAGCGAGCGGGCAAACAACATGTTGGCTGTTTTGCTTTGCCCGTAGGCACGCCAGCGATCATAGCTTTTCCCTTCCTACGTCTCCCCATTGTGTCAGCTTGGAACTTTTTGTTCTCTATCTTTCACAGCTGGATTCTTGTGCTTGCGGATCTCTCCCCGATGAGTCGAAACAGCTGTGAGCGGCTTACATCGAAATTCCAATCGTCGAACCGCACCGGATTCAACCGATGACCGTCGCTGCTCACGACGACCACGCGGGGGCTCGGCGCGGCCACGATCTTCGGCATGATCAGGTTGGTGAACAGGAACGGGCCGAGGTGGTTGGTCGCCCAGTGGGCCTCGAAGCCCTCGGCGGAGAGGCGGTAGTCCGGCACGCCCATGATGCCCGCGTTGTTGACCACGACGTCGATGGCGGGGAGGTCGTCCCATTCGTTGACCTCGGCGGCGGCGGCGCGGACGCTCGCGAGGGAGCATAGGTCGATCTGTAGGGTGCGGATCTCCGTGGTTGGGTGGCTGGGGCTGGGGCTGGTGCTGGTGCTGGTGCTGGCTCGGAGCGCCGCGGCGGTTTGAGCGAGTTGCTCGGGATTACGGGCGGCAAGGATGAGGCAGGCAGGTTGGGCTTGGGCGAGGGACTGCACGAAGAAGCCGCCGAGGGAGTTGGGGGAGACCCCCGTTGTGAGGATGACTTTGCCTTTGATGACGGGGGCGTAGTCGCTTAGGAGGTCGGCGGTGGTGGTCTGGGTGGTGTATGGCGGTGGCATGTTGGCTTTTGTTGTTTGGTGGTGGGGGTGAAATGGCAAGGTTTAAGAGAAACTCAGACTGTGTATGGTTGCCAGAGATGAAGCCATTTATGTGGATGGATGAGAGTTGGAATGGGTAATCACGGCGTTAACAAGTTATTTCCCTATATCCGGGGAGTTTCCTGCTAGTATTTTACGTTCAGCAGCGCTCTCAGATCATCCTTTCCATCGTGTACCTCTTTGCATCTGACCTTTGTGAAGCTTGGTTGACCTCTGTCTGTTCTGAGTGCATAGTACATATAGCCTTCTTCCGGCTACCTATACAGTATCACGATACGCCATTGCGATGACTATAGTAAAGGCGTACATCTCATGGAGCTTGAGCGCTAGAGTTGTCACTCTTCACGAATGCCTTCATCTCCTTGTTCTCATACGGCACCACCATAGGCTCGCGTAAGCTGAGAAGTGATAACTCAACTGTATTATTGCTCCGAAGCAACAACTATATTGCATGGTAGTACTAGTACCTTAGTAGTATACAGTTATCATTTCTGAATTCGCTAATCAACATATGATGACATCCCGAAGTGGGCCCGGGGGCACGTGCGCTTGGCCCGAAATGGTAAGGTGCCCGTGCTCGGAGAGGATCGACAGGCTGACATCAAATGATCAATGATCATTGTTTTGCTTATCTGTCTGGACCCTGCACTTGAAAATATGCGCCGGTATATCCATGCTTATATCGAGCTCTAGAGCCAGTCAGAGGAGCTATCAATCGAACTACCTCCAGGACTGGGCTGAGCCAACATACGAATCTGACGAAGCATCCCCTCGGTGTTGGATACGAGCCGAGAGCCAACCCAACCCAATCCAATCATTAGTCCTAAAAGATTCTCTGCAAAGTACTATGAATAGCTCTCAGCTCCTGGTTACGAAATAAGGAAACATCGCTAAAGTGAAGAGCTATCAGGTCGAGGCTCTCGAAAACAACGAGTGAAAGCCCCTTTCATAAGCATGGGAGACCAAAAAATAGATGCCAGGAAGACAAATGCTGATGATGGAGATAGGAATCTCTACTTCGATCCAAATCGATGGATTGACGGCGTGATCTATGTACTTGTGAGTCAGAGTCTCTCGCATACCACAGGTTGGAATAACCTACACGTCGGGTTCTTCGCTAAGTGCGGACTGACTTGGACATTCGTGATCAGACGCCCTATGGAGACCGCAACCACACTGACAAGTAAGTGAGTGTCAAGCTAGCTCACCGGGCTCTACTTACAGGTATCCGCTAGTGAATACTCCAGCTAGAAGAAGCCTCCGCATGAGCCTCAAGTGCAGCTTCCAGAGCATGGGCAAGGGCAAGAGTAGGACGAGGATATCGATAATGAGATCCGGCGTTCCAAAGCCTAGCCACAAGCTCCTTGTATCTATGCAGGTGCCCGGCAGATCTGGCATCCAGTTTTCTTTCGATCGGAGAACATGTGAGAAAGATGACGAGGATAGTACTGATCGACCATGCGATATTCAATCCATGCACTATCCAGAGCGCATATCGGAAGCGAGAGGGACCTTGGCTGAGAACCCTTCCGTAGAAAAACAGAGCGGACGCTCGTGCTATTGAGGTCCCCCCAAGTACTAAGAAGTATACCACCCATAACAGCTTCAGTAAAGAGACCAGGTCTGCTGGAGACACTGTTTCAACCTGTCTCCCCAGTCCAAGCCGGATCATTCTCAGATTGATGCCGCAAACAGCAATGTTCAACAACTGCCAGAGCATGATTAGTCCATGCCAGTGCTGAGAGGGGACTCGCGGCTAACCGCAGCGGCGAGAGCAGTCCAATCATCTCACCAGAACCCAGAGCGGGTGTTGGACCGAGGAGGTTTCGGCAACAAGGCTCTCGACCAGAATCTAAGGACCACGGCAACTGATGGGACAATGATCAAGGCGATGGTGATCGCCCTAATCTGCGGGCCTCGATTATCGGAGGGCTGAGAGGATGGACTCGGAGACATCACCGAAGGAAGGCAAAGGCTAGGTCACTGGCGGATTGAGACTTAGTAGAACAGTTTGACCAGTCCGTAAGCGCCCAGTATGCATGTAGAGAGATTTGCAGCATTATGAAGGTGCTTGAGAGTTCTTGCTTCAGCTCTAGAAGCTATATTTGGATCCCTTTAGTATGACAATAGGCAGAGAGGATCTTTTCGCAAAGCATACTCGAAGTAATCGTCATATGACGTGAATCAGCTTTGGATTAGAATTAACGAAGCCTGGAACGAGCCATTCCGTAATTGCTTCCATGATGTTTCCCTGCCACCCTGTGTAATGTAAGCAGCGACCACTTGTCGCCGAGAACATCAATGCCATTGAGCCTGATCACCAGTAACCGCGGAATCCCTTGAAGCTTAATAAGGATGGATAGCCAACAACAGCAGAAGTAACCGGAGAGGCTCAGTTAGTTGCATGGTATCAGATATACTAGGTCGATTCTGTGACACGCAGCGACTGCCAGTGGCCTGGAGTTGCCGGTGTTGTTGGAAGAAAAGTGCCAGAAGGAGTAAGAGTCGGCAGGCTGAGAGCCTCCAAGACAGGTAATTCATCCCAACGGAACCTGATCTCAGGTTCCATCGCAATCTTCGCAGCTCTTGAAGGTCGAAGACACATCCGGTGTCTATTTCAAGTTTATGAGGCGAAGCCACCCCGAGTGCCGGGACGACTGTGAAATGACAAACTTGACTTTGGAAAAAGAATAATCAGTCCAGTCAAGTAGCTCAGTAATCAGAACTTAGGTGCTGCATTCGGCCTTGACCACCGAAGTAGTTTTACCTTGACGGTTGACAGGAATTGGAGACTGACGGCGGCAAACCATACTCTTGATGAAGTCTACCCATGGTTCGACAGTCCGCCGGTCTGATCTCGAAATTATGTAATGATTCTTGCAACTTCTTGAAGAAATTATGGCTATCACCACTCTTCCTACCTGATAGTCATCGATGGATGCCGTTTTATTGCTGTTCAATGGCTTAAGACATACGCCACAAAGCCCGCTGCCGGGCTGCTCCTCTCCTTTCCTTTGGAACTGACGCCATATACATATCATTTGTCCTCATCGATGTAGGCCAGGTGGTGAAAAGGCGACATAGCAGTGGAAGAATGTCTCAGCAGTCGCCTCATGTTCCCTACAATGGGACATCACTGCTGGGCGTAGCCATTGCTATGGCAATACTGCAGATCGTTGCGGTGATTGCTCGCTTCTATACTCGATACAGTCAGAGACTCGCCTACGCGCTTGATGATTTTCTGATTGTTATCGCCTTGGTAAGGCAGCTAGCCAGCAGTCCGTGTCTTGATTGCTGATAAGCCTTCAGATTGCTAGCCTGGGACAGTCGGCTCTGTACGTGGTTTGTATGTGACGACCTCAGTTATCACCCATAAGCAACAACTGACCCTTGCTATAGTGGTCAAAGTAGCGGGAGTAGGATATCATATGAGCTTTGTGGAGGAGACTCCAGAGAAGTTGGTTGCTCTCGAAAAGGTATTAACAAGAAGGTCTCGAGGCTAAGATATTGATGACTGATCAATTGACGCACAGGGTCTATACGCCAATGAGATTATCGATTTCCCCTTTGTCATAACTCCAGCCAAGATTTCCATTCTGATATTTTACGTTCGCATCTTTAGCACGCGAAACTTCAAAGTGGCCGCGTATATCGTTGGAGCACTCGTATTCGGGCACGGTATCGGGGTTTTGCTTGCAGCTATCTTTCAATGCTGGCCAATCGATTACACATGGAACAAGACTACAGGTGTTGAAGGCGGCTCATGTTTCAACCAACAAGCCTTCTATCGATACGTCTCGCCCCCGAACATTTTGACGGATGTGCTCTTATTGATATTACCACTGCCATATGTTTGGAGACTCCATACCACCCGTGGTCACAGGCTGGCATTGACGGGAGTTTTTCTCCTGGGAGGATTGTAAGCGTATTTCCCGACTCAGCGCATATCATATGTATGGCATATGTATGCATCGTTGATTGACCGTGCAACAGAGGGACGGTAGCCAGCATTCTGCGCATGACAAACTTCTTCGAAGAAAGAGCGACGGTTGATCCTACATGTCTGTCCTGCACAGAGGCCTGATAAAACCTTACATACTGACCCTGCTGTAGGGACATCAACCGATCTTGGGATCTGGACTATTCTTGAAGGAGCCCTCATCATCATAGCCGCCTGCTTGCCCCCCACTTGGCCTTTGATAATCCGGTTCCTACCCCGGAAGCTTTTCAGTAAAAAGTCGGTCGGAACTCGGGCTTCTGAGAGTGATACGAGCAGACGTGCCATGGTTGAGAGCGAGGACGGATCTTCCCGTAAAGGGGGTAGCGCTCGCCGCCCCGGCCAGAGCCTGTCCACCCTGGAAAGTCAAGCCAGGCTATCTCCTGGGGTTTCAACTCGGCCTTCAGATAGGTTTGCATTGGAGTCCATTCCGAGTGAGGCTTGATATACACCCCTTCAAAGAGGCAGCCGATAAGACTCGGGCAAGTCCATCATATGAGTGAATACGGAGTACCATATCTACAGAAGGCTCTTGGACCAGCTCAATGTGAAAGCCATGCTCTGCTTCGATTCGTCCGAGATCTATATGCTAATATGTATACCCGAATCCACGCTGAAACATTGACAACGTTAGTGAGTTTTGGCATTAATCGCACCAGGCAGACGTACCATATTCTGAAGAATCTTTCCTTTCTTCTGCCGTCTATTCAGCGAGTAGAAAGAGAGCGTGAAGACACCCACTAGAACAATCATGAGGACATGGGAGCTGATGACACAGGAACGAGATGTTGTCAGTGTTTTCGGTTCCAACCAAAGGATTGATTGAGCCCGACATACCCAATAGATACCCAGACGGCGGTTTGATAGCGTGGTGCTTCCTGCTGTCGCACTATATAACTGCCCGCCACACCACCCAGACCATTACACGCCGATACAGCGGCTGCAGTGGAGGCGCGATTCCACTGACCCACGACGTTGTTGGCCATGAATGCGTTCAGAGCCGCCCAGTTGGAGACATATGCCCCGGTAGCGAGGAAAGTCCCGATATACCGCACAGTGACCTGCGTCGAGGATGGTAGACCAAACATAAGAAATCCCGCTATCAGGCAGAGGGCGTTGAAGGTGATGAGCGGGCCCCGGATGCGATAAGAATCGCCCACGAACGACGTGAAAAGGACCGGAAGTACGGACCAATAGTAGGGCTACCAAGGTATAGGATCAAGGTTAGGACGACGCAAACTACATTTTTGGAAGCACGATCCGTAGGAAACCCTATCTGACCAACTCCGAAGTAAAGGAACAAACCAACGTACCGGTGTTGAGAGAAGGATAGAATCATTGCTCGAAAAGCCCATACCTGACTCGAGAATGATAGGCAGAAAGTAGTTCAGCGCCGTTGAAACAAGATTCAATAAGAAGTACATGCAGGCAAAGCCATACAGCTTCAAATCGGCGAAAGGGGCCAAAGCCTTGCTCCACGAGAAAGCATCAGGCATTATGTCATCACGGTCAGCTCGAATCCGCTGTTGCTACTGTGTCAGTTATTGCTGTTGCTGTTGCTGCTGTTGCTGCTGCTGTTGCTTCTCACCTGTGCAGCCACACGTGCCTCTGCTTCGCTCAGGAAGTGAAAGCTACGGTGAGCGTTCTCCGGGAAGTCGACCATCCACCAATATGTGAGAATCCCAATGACGCTAGTGATCAAGCCCTGAACAAGGTACATCCAGCGCCAGCCTTGCATGCCTGATTTCCCATCCAGCAGGTTCAGACCATAGTTCACGATATACCCTGTCGCGAGCCCGATCACCTCACCCGACTGGAGAACCGCGAACCGGACCTGCTGTTCTCGGCGTGGGTACCATGTGCTGATGAGATAAGTCAAGCCTGGATAGATCCCTGACATGGCCATTCCGAGCAACACTCGCAGCGCAATCATCTGTCGCCAAGTATGAATAAAGGCGGTACATAACGTGATCAGGCCGAATATGAAGGTAATCGCGGCGAACCAGACTCGGGGACCGACCCAGCGAACTGCGAGAGTGGACGGCAATTGGCAGACAATGCTCGCAACCGTGAATATGAAAATCGAGGCTGAGTAGCGGTTTCCATGCAGATCCAAGTCGCTGGGCATACTAGTCACCGATGCCGACGAGAGAATGCCCGAGTCGAGTAGGTTGAGACTACACAGAATACCGGCAATGCTACACAGACGTAAGTCTGTCTTCCATCGGACTTGCTTCTCCAGCCGTTTCGACTCTTCAGGGTCCTGCTCGGTCAAGTAGAATGCGTTTTGCGGGGTCGAATTCTCATCGAGCGGTGACACCGTGTCAGCGTGCATTTCGATCACAGCGCCATCGGCGCTTTTCGAGGCCATAATTCAAATGGCGCCTAGCCGAGCACGCAGCGATAAGAAGTGGTAAGCTGAATTCCGAGAGCAATTGCAATGGATGACGGACAATTGAGTGCGGCGACATTGTTCAAGAAGCGGGGAGGCACTGGAAGAAACTAATGGAATACAGTGGCGATGAACCCGCTTATCTATTGCTGAAGATTTTCGATAGCTCGTCCAATTCCTAATTCTTGCATATATTAGCAATCAATCACTGCCCGCCCAGGTCCTGATCCTTAGCTCATGGGATCCCTGCTTGGCTTACTCATGAATTCAGGGCGAGACCCCTGGAGTCACACTGATCCAGCTGCGCTTCTCGTGCGATCGTCCTGTGCAGAGGAAAAATCACCTAGGCTCATGCTGTCGATTGATTTGTTGAGGCTTTGAAACTGGATGGCGGAATAGAGAGGGCCACGCACTTCCGGATCGCCACGCACTTCTACTCATAGAGTGTTATGTATGTATTTCCGGAACGGCTGCTGATTTCTCTAGACCACTTATTGATTGAATTGTTATTTTTCAACTATAGAGACCCTAGGAAAGGTACTTACAAGTAATATATTCTAACTTTTTTACTGGCGTGAAGAAGTGCTTTAGAGAGCCTTACTTCACTTGTTCACTGTATGTACATACAGTATTTCCTCCGAGAGATGCCTGGTAAAGACGTTTTGTTGACATACTTTTTTAAATACTTGCTTGTAGAGGTACTTGACAAGACTTGTCTATATACTTAAGTCCTCTGAAGATTAACTTATTTCATAGTGTATTACTGTTAAGAGACTCATACTTACTCCATACCTTACGACCTTTTTTTTAAGAGTTTCATATCCAGTGAGGGTGTAAAAGTTCTAGTAGTAAAAGCAGCCGTTCCTAGAAGTGCGTGGCGTTCCGAAATTGCGTGCCCCCCCCTCTGGAGTCTACCTACAGACTAGAAATCAAGTCCTTCGGAAGGACTTCGAAGAAGGTGGACGAGGCCCTGCCTAGCGGGTGACTCCTGATGACCAAAGGCGTTGTCGAAGGGAACACGCACACATTGAAGCAAGTATGTAACTATTGATTTAGGCCCTGGTCCGAATCTGCGACAGGGGGGGCCCCCCTTCCTGAAGCAACAATGATGAATAAGCTTATTCAAAGTAAGAAATCTGGCACATGATCAAATAAATACCCATGAATATCTACACTATACTTGAAGGAGCGTCAGTCTAGCTCGCTCTCAACTTCAGGGAATGAATGCATTGCCTTTCATCTACTGAGTACTTGGGAATCGCTTACCACTCCTACTGAATCCCCACCCACTCTTATCGCACGGCATTATGAATGATGAATTAACGGAGTAATTAGCCGTCAAATCTAACTCCGAGAACCGACTCTGGATCTCAATGTTTCCATTTCTCCGCTCCTCAATGGCTCGCCGGAGCTCCATCTACTGCTGCTTTCCCCGCGCTGATTGCGGCGGGGACCCACGTTACCGCACCGGACGAAAGGGAGTTAAGCGGGTTAGTTGAAAACCACTGTACTAATTGTATAACCTCTGTACGTACTGTACCTTTCGATTCCTATCCTTCTGACTCTGGGATCGTATCTATCTGTTCGCGACTTCGGTCAGTCTGATCGACCGTCACTTGGCTCTCCCCACCCATCCACCCACCCTCCTCCACTTCTTCTGTTCTCTTCGCCCTCATAATCATGGCTCTTCTTCCATAACCTCCTCTTCCTCTTCCTCTTCCCTTCCTCTTTTCCTTCTAATACCCCTTATCGGTTAAGTACAGACATCATCTCTTTCCCGCCCCCGCGCTCTCCAACCCAATTGCGATTTTACGCAGTACACCGCCGCAGCTCGCAGCTCAGTCTTTGACTACATATCACTCATTTCGCCATCTTCCCTCTAGACCCCCCAGAACCGATCATCATGGTCGAGCTAATCCCTTCTCTTGAACCTCGCATGCTCCTTCCGCCATTGCTCGCCTGTCTACCCACGGCTTTTGTCTCGTCGCAACCCCCTCCTGCGCTGCTACCACTTCTGTCTCCGATTATTCGCCAGCGCGTGAAGATCTTCACTACCGTCTCCGCCTCACCCACCGACTCATGGCTTCGGCTGCTCTGCTGGGATTCTGCATCGGCTGAGCGTCTGCAATCTCTGGTGGATGGTGCTAGCTTCGAGCCCCACCCCGTTTCCGGAGAGATTGACCTCCCAGACGACATTCCCGTGCGGTACAAGAGACTGGACGAGGAGACTCTACAGTCGCAAGTTCAGCTACCTGAGTATAGCTTAAAAGTCATATACGTCTGGTGCCCTGACGATGAAGAAGGCGGAGGGCCTGCGTGGCGGGTCGCGGAAGTCTTGCCACAGGATAGCAGTGTTGGGGAGGACGGAGTCTGGTCGATCTCGATTGGGGAGGCAAACGCCCACCAGAGAGAACAGGTGACGGCAAATAAAGGAGCAGAAACGGGAAATAATGGTCAAGCAACCACAGCGGCAACACAGAGCAATGGCAAGGATACACAAGAGGAAGATGATGACGATGACTACTGGGCCCAATATGATGCGACTCCCGGACGGACCCCCGCGGTGAAGACACCGGCTCCTAATGCTGTTTCATCTTTGCAACAGTCTGACGCAGACTATTATTCACAGTATGACGATGTGCAGCCAGCCATGGATAACCATGATCCCGAGGAAGAGCAACCCGAAATCGGCCCATCTTCGCTCAATGGCGACATGTTGGCTCGTCTCTTGCAACGGCAAGTCAGTGGCTCAAATCCCGACTCGTCTGCGCACGCGACCGAACACTTAGCGACAAACGGAGACTACGCCATGTCGTTGAATCATCCTCGCCCTTCATCCATTTCATCTGGCAGCTCCGGTCCAGTGGCCAAGCTAGAGCAGGAAGCGGAGAACCAGTCTGCCTATGAAGTCGGGGTAAAGCAGCATATTGGCTCCAACATAAAGAGTTTATTCCGACTGGCAAAGGCAACTGGTCTCTCTCGCAGCGACTTCCAAACTCTTGTCAAGACTGAACTGGAGCTGCTCGATGTATCAGACGATGATGCATGATCTACTCCGCCCATCATTTTCTTCTTTTTGTTCATCTGGACCTGAAATTGTACATACATACATACTTACCGCATTTGATCATGCTTAAGCGTGAAGGGCGCAATTTTTGTTCGCATGTTCGCATATGCATTGGATATCCCAGGGGTACGTGTGCTTTGTTGGCTATATTGCTGTATTGGATTTATTTCGCTATTCTTGCTCATGGTTTACAATAAATTAGCAAATGAAAATAACCTTAAATATCTACGGTCGATCTCACCCTGACGCCATAAATAAAGCTTACGTGTAGGGAGTGTTTCGGATCTGTGCTTCAGGTTCTTCCGTTCCGCGCGGTCATTGGGAAAGACACGCAATCCGCCCCCATCAGTCGACTTAAACGCCCCCCTCCCCTCGACTGCTGCGGCTGAAGCGACTTGGTATATTACGAGATTGTGAGCCAATTTGAATATGCTCTCTTCTTGATCTTTCTCTTTCTCCCTTGTAAGTACGTCCACTGGGATGACTTGCCCTTCTGCTTGTTCAACGTGCTGACCTGTTGTTTTGGTCTCCTCTAATCCAGTATATAGAGCCGTCTCTCATTCATTCGTTTCTTTCCTACTAGCTACCCCCTCTTCCTTTAATTATGTCTTCCCCTTCGCCCTCTCTTCGCAAGAGAGGTGGCAAGAAGGAGAGTACCCCCGTGCCTGCGGACAATTACTCGTCTCCTTTTTCTTCTACCAAAGCGCCTCGTCCCCAGTCAGAATGGAGCTATTGGCTGGCCATTGCCGTTCTGACCGTCCTGGCATTCATCACCCGATTCTACAAGATCTCGTATCCCAACGAAGTTGTCTTCGATGAGGTGCATTTTGGAAAGGTAAGTCGAGATGTTTTGCAGGGAATTGAGTTTGTGGGCCACTTCTAACCGAACACCTGTCGTTATCCAGTTCGCCTCGTATTACCTCCAGCGCACGTACTTCTTCGATGTTCACCCCCCATTCGGCAAGCTTCTTTTCGCTTTTGTGGGATGGCTGATCGGCTATGATGGCCACTTTTTGTTCGACAACATCGGCGATTCTTACATCGACCACAATGTCCCCTATGTTGCCCTTCGTGCTATGCCGGCTACCCTCGGTGCTCTGACCGTGCCCGTGGTGTTTCTCATCATGTGGGAGTCCGGTTATTCACTACCAGCCTGTGTCTTGTCGGCAGGTCTCGTCCTGTTTGACAATGCACACATTGGAGAGGATCGCCTGATTCTCCTGGATGCCAGTTTGGTTTTGGCCATGGCTTTGAGTGTCCTGTGCTATGTCCGCTTCTACAAGCTGCGTCATCAGCCGTTCGGCCGCAAGTGGTGGAAATGGCTTCTCTTGACCGGTGTGTCTCTAAGCTGCGTGATCTCCACCAAGTACGTTGGTGTCTTTACTTTCGTCACCATCGGATCTGCGGTCTTGGTCGACCTGTGGAATTTGTTGGACATCCGCCGACCTGGCGGCTCTCTCAGCATGTTCCGCTGGAGCCAGCACTTCGCTGCTCGCGCTTTCGCACTAGTCGTCGTTCCGTTCTTTTTCTATCTGTTCTGGTTTCAGGTTCACTTCACCATTTTGAACCGCTCCGGTCCTGGTGACGACTTCATGACTCCGGAATTCCAGGAGACTCTCAGCGACAATGCCCTGACTGCGGACTCCATCGGCATTCAATACTATGACAGCATCACTATCAGACACAAGGATACCAAGGTTTTCTTGCACAGCCACCTGGAAACATACCCGCTTCGCTATGATGATGGACGTATTTCCAGCCAGGGCCAGCAGGTTACTGGTTACCCTTACAATGACACCAACAACCACTGGCAGATCATTCCCACGGTTCCTTTCGACGTCACTGACACCACCGGACATCCTGTACGGAATGGCGATGTTGTTCAGCTCCGTCATTTGGGCACAGACTCAGTGTTGCTCACCCACGATGTGGCGTCGCCTTACTATCCGACCAACCAGGAGTTCACTACCGTCTCCCAAGAACTCGCCAACGGCGAGCGCCACAATGACACACTCTTCGAGATCAAGATCGAGAATGCCAAGCCCCAGCAGGAGTTTCGCACTCTTTCGAGTCACTTCAAGCTGGTTCATGTGCCCACTCGCGTGGCTATGTGGACGCACACGACGCCTCTGCCGGAGTGGGCTTTCAAACAGGCCGAAATTAATGGCAACAAAAATATTCTTCAGACCAGCAACCTCTGGTTCATCGACTCCATCGAGTCTCTGGAAGAGGGCAGTCCACGTCTCGTGAAGGAAGAGCGTCAGGTCAAGCATCTGTCTTTCTTCCGCAAGTATCTCGAGCTGCAGCGCGCCATGTTCCATCACAACAACGCTCTTACTTCCAGCCATCCCTACGCCAGCGAACCTTTCCAGTGGCCCTTCCTTCTCCGTGGTGTCAGTTTCTGGACCAAGAACGATACCCGGGAGCAAATCTACTTTTTGGGTAACCCGATCGGCTGGTGGATTGCGAGCAGTCTCTTGGCCGTCTTCGCGGGTGTCATCGGTGCCGACCAACTGTCTCTTCGACGTGGTGTCGATGCCGTGGAAGAGAGTGAGTCATCTTGCCTTATCATATACATGCTGAGTACTAACGATTCGCAGTCTGGGGCGTGGGTGCGCGTTCGCGCTTGTATAACAGCACTGGCTTCCTGTTTCTCTGCTGGGCGGCCCATTATTTCCCTTTCTGGCTGATGGGTCGACAGCGTTTCTTGCACCACTATCTTCCTGCTCACCTTGCCTCCGCCCTCGTTGCCGGTGCTCTGATTGAGTTCATCTTCAACTTGGAGCCCATCTCAGTTGTGAAGTCTGTCCCTCTGGAGGATGACTCGACCGGCAAGTCTAAGGCAACCGCTCGGATCACCCACTTTGTGACGGCGTCGGAGCGTCTCGGACAGAAGTCTCTGATTGCGGGCTGGGTTGCCACTCTGGTGATTCTGGCCGCCACCATTTACGGCTTCGTGTTCTACGCCCCACTGACTTACGGTACCCCTGGTCTGGATGTGCCGGGCATCTTGGCTCGCAAGTGGCTGGCATATGACTTGCACTTTGCCAAATAGAATAGTTGATGACGCGCCTGCAGTTGGCACGGCACCGAGCAACAGAATGGAGACTGCATGCTCAGAGTAAGCAGTCATGTGTGATGAGATGTATGGAGGTGTACCAAGGCGTTTTGAATGGCCAAGATTCGTATAGTGCGCCTGACGATGAGCAGACACGATATCCCTTGTGCCCGTGTCCTGCAACCCGCCTTTCCCATCTATATTCTTGAATCAACTCAGTCACTCCTCTGTATCAAAATCTATACCTGAAATTTTACGTTGTGATACTACATTGCCATGAAACCAAAAGCATAAATCCATAGAAAGAAGCTCAATTAGATCAAACCCTAATGCTACCGAAACACCCCCAACGCCAAGTTGCTATCAAGTACAATACATCAAAATGGAAATCGGTTCTCTAAAAAGCCATTCTCTTCCCAATCTCACTCTCCCAGCCGCGCGACTTCTCGAACCCATTCGACGCGGTCCGGAAATCCATCATGGCCTGGTAGACCTCCTCCTCACTCGTGACGACGAAGGGACCGTACTGGACGACCTTCTGATCGAGGGGCTGGCCGGCGACGAGCAAGAAGCGGCCCTCCTCGTCGGCATTGTCCGGCACGGAGGCCTCGACGAACTCGCCCTGCTGCTCGAACACGACATTGTGAAACTCCTTGACGTTGCGGGTCTGATCGCCAGACCCAAAGACGGTGGCGCCCTTGAGCGTGTAGGCGAAGGCGTTCCAGCCGAGCGGCAGCGCCTGGCGCACGCGGCCGCCGGGCCGGATGGCGATGTCCAGCAACCAGACGGGGGTGTAGGCGAGGTCACGCACGGAGTCGACGCCATGCGACTGGCCCGAGATGACCTTGACGGTGACGCGGCCGGCGTCCGTGGTGGCGAGGGGGATCTCGGCGCTGCGCAGGTCGCGGTAGCGCGGCTCGCAGTACTTGAGGTCCTTGGGGAGGTCGACCCACAGCTGCATGCCGACGTTGGGCGAGCCGTCCGTGTCCTCGTGCGGCATCTCCGCGTGCATGATGCCCTTGCCCGCCGTCATGAACTGCAGGTCGCCCGGTCCGATCGTGCCCCGGTTCCCCGCGAAGTCCTCGTGGTCCACCCCGCCCGACAGCAGGTAGGTGATCGTCTCCTGGCCCCGGTGCGGGTGGTCCGGGAACCCCGCCCCTTTCCCGATCGTGAAGTGGTCCAGCATCAGGAACGGGCTCAGGTGCCGCAGCTTCGCCGTGCCGATCGAGCGCCGCACCCGCGCGCCCGCGCCCTCGGCTTGCTCGATCGCCAGGAAGACTTGGCGGATGCTGCGCGGGAGGGTCATTTTGGAGGTGGGTGGGATTATCAGGGTTGGGGTTGTGGTGGTGATGATGGTGGTAGTGTTGGTGGTGGTGGAGTGGTCAGTCAGTATAGTAGAAGGTATCAAGTTTCGAAAATTGAAGTGGTAGTGGTAAGTAGCAGTGTATAGTATAGCAATGATGCCGATGCAAAAAGAAAGTAAGACTCTCATGTGGGGGATAGTGCAATGGGCTTTATATACGGGTTTGGTCGGTACAGTTGCGAACAGTATAGAATCTTCCTGGAAAGCAAAAAAGCTGTTTGACCTAATAAATACTCTGTTAGTCAATTCTTGTAATCGGTCGAGTAAGCAACGCCCCATGCGGTCCTGCGCACGGGGGGGTAAGAATAATAGGAAAAGGAAATTGGCTGGAGTCGCTGGACTGATCCACCGATACGAGGATTGGCTGGAGATGGGATCTCAAAGAATTGACAAGCAGCAAACCATGGACTCGCCCCGAATTACAAAGATTGCCGTCAGCAACGGATGTCGGCGCTTGGCGGATGACTCAGGCTTTACTCAGGGGCTGGTTTAACTAACTATCCTGTGATGAGTGATGGGTGAGTAAGGAATTGAGGCGTACTTGAATAGTCGAAATATGCCATAATTCCGATTCAAGTGAGAAAGGACATTCACCTGTTTCATCCTACTTTGTGTCTTTATACATAGACATACACAATATTGGTAGCTACAATCCGATCTGTTACTGTAGCGTAGCTGTACCGAATGCTGTATCCATGAGTAGGCACGTGCTGATAAGATAAGACCCCCCGTCGCCCGCCCTCGGGGCTCCATCTTCCAACTGGCACAAGCGATGATGCTATGGCAATGCTGATAGCAGCGCTACGATCATCAGTGTCGGCTTCCTGCCAATAGTCAACGCTGACGAACTGTACTATGTGACTGAACTTACTTGCCTGTTACTTTTCAACCCATCGCCGCAATCCGAAGCCTCAATCTCCATCATCCCCGATAAGGCCAGATCGTCGCATGCGACGCTCCGAGACTCGGGCCAACCTACCAAAAGTCATTTCTATAGAGCTCCATCAAACTCAAGATGGCCCGCCAGAATCGCATTCTCACTTCACTACTCGTTCTGGCAGGTGCTAGCTCAACTGTAGGGGCTAGCAAAAAGTCGTTCAGTGTCCACGATGACCTCCTAGCCTTCCCCCAGGTGCGCTTCCTGACGCTCCTTCCTCGGCCCCGAACTCCCAAACCTGCCTACTAATTGTCCATATTCACATTATAGTTCCAGGTCCTTTTCCCCGACGAATACGTCCTAGAACCCCAGGCTCGGGAGCTTCTTGAAGGCCACAGCAGTCTTTCCTCCTTCGAGAACTCACAAGAAGGAATCTCGGGGCAGAAACGCTCGCAGGTCTATCTCGGATTGAACAACCCTGACTTCGATCAACAAGATGAATCTCCCGATAGCCTCGACACTGGAGATTATACCCTAGAAGAGATGATTCTCGGGGACCAGCGATACCTTTGCCAAATACCGCAGGTGCAGCTTGACGAGCGGGTCAATGGGACGGGGAACGACACAGCCGAAGCTGACGAGCGAAAGGAGCTGGCGCGGGCCACGGACCGTGGTCTGGAGCTACTGCGCGAGATGGAAGGAAAGTGCATGTACTATATCTCCGGCTGGTGGTCCTACTCGTTCTGCTACAAGGAGAAGGTCAAGCAATTTCACGCTCTCCCGTCGGGCAGCGGGGTGCCTAATTACCCACCCATGGAGGATCCCACGACGCAGTCGTTTGTTTTGGGCCGATTCCCACTGGGTGGTGGGAAAGGTGCCGAGGAAGAGGATGACTTCGCACATACGGGAGAATCTACGCACAAGAAGGCGACCGCTAGTACCACTGATGTTGCGGAACTCCAAACTAAAGGCGGATCTCGCTACCTCGTCCAGCGCCTGGATGGTGGCACACGATGTGATCTGACGGGACGACGTCGCAAGATTGAGGTCCAGTTTCACTGTCATCCCCAGTCGACAGACCGTATCGGCTGGATCAAGGAAACAGCTACCTGCTCGTACTTGATGATCATCTACACGCCCCGGCTGTGCAACGATGCCGTGTTCCTTCCACCCCAACAGGATGAGATTCACGAGATTGAGTGCCGGCAGATCCTCACGCCGGATCAGGTATCCGACTGGAAAGCGTTACGGGAGGCCCTCATCGCCCAGGAGCACGCCGAGGATGCCGGCCTGACGCAGGAGCCCTTCCCAGTTGTGGGTGACATCGAAGTTGGGGCGCAGAGATTAGTCGGTTCGGAAGGCAAGAAGATTGAGAAAGGCCGAGTTGCGTCGGCGGGCGAAGCAAAGGTGGATATCGTGGCCAAGCGTGAGAATGGACAAGTGTACCAAAGGACTCGCGAAGAGCTGCTGAAGTACGACATTGACCCGGACAAGTTGGAGGATCTGAAAAAAGGCGTGGACGAGATGGCGGAAGGCAAGGACTGGAAGCTAGAATTGATCACAGTCAACGGCGAGCGTCACTTAAATGTGCTTCTGGAGGAGCCCGAACAGGCGCAGGTGGAAGATGATCAAGGGCCCTCGGTACACGTGACCTCGTTTGGCCCCAGCGATGATCAGTATAAGCTAGACAAGCCAGGCAATGAGGCTGCAGACTCGAAGGCAGCAACCGCAGAGGGTGCTGCAGAAGAACCGTCCGAAAAGTCGGACGAGCCAGAGAAACGACCATCGTCGGAGTCAGATGCCTCCGAAACGGGGAGCGAGGAGGTATTCAAAGACGAGTTGTGATTGTCCATCACATTTTGTGGTTCCCGTCTGCTCAACAGACCTTTTCTGGTCATTGTTTTCTTGTTCGTTATGTTTTTTTCGCCTCCCAGCAGCACCTTCGTGGTTACTAATGCTGGTTGTACAGTTCTAGCCCTATATCCATAGCCTCTTGCATAGTTGATAGCACCGAACGAAGGATAAATTTATCTGCATGGCAACGAAGCTTCCGATACGATGTAACGAAGGCGTACAATTATCTTAAGCCGAGGCAAGCCTGAAAGGAGCCCAATTGTAAAGGAAGTTAATAAAATGTGGAGACGTCATGGAAAGAATTCTTCCAGACGAATGCCCAAACAGGCTGGGCGGCAGTCAGGGGTTGACGACGATGGCATCATTGGGCTTGCTTGTAGCGCTGATATGACACGGTTATTTCCCTCTGGAGGGGCATATTCAGTGGTAATGTGCATTTTATATGCAATGTACTGATTCTTTGTTTTTTTTCCCATTGGGATTCCCTCACCTTTACTCCTGACATCTTCTAAGGTTGTCAAACGTGGGAACGAAAACGTAACCGGTTCCTGTTTGTGCCTTAGGCCTCAGGCCATCAATGATGGAGAAGTGATTGTACGGAGTGAGTAACTGCGTGAGTATCGCAACAACTAATTTAGTGCCAAGGCTAGCCTGGATCCCTCCACTCGGACCAGTTACGTACCTGTTCACCACCACCACCACCAACTGTCCGAATGCACCCTCCGTTACCTTGACCTCCACAGTCACCACCACTACCACCACAAATCTAACCCTTCTAATTCTTCCTTCACCTTTCTCCTCTGCCTTCTTCCTCCCCTTCCTCTCTCTTAACCTTTTCTCCCTCTTCCACCTTTCACTTCTTTATCTTACTTCCCACCTGACGCTGCCCGCTGCGGCCGCAGCACACCCCCATTTCCCCCCCCTCCTCCTCCCCCCTCCCCAGCCCCCTCCCCGGCTCCATTCAACCTTTCAACCTTGACGACAACCCACCATGGGTTTCCTCGGCGTCTACACGGTGATTTACGACTATGAACCCCAAGGGGCAGGAGAATTAGAGCTTCGCGAAGGCGATCTGCTCTGTATTCTAGAAAAAAGTGAGGAGGACAGTTGGTGGAAGGCCAAGAAGAAGGCCGATCGCGACGATGAGGATGAGCCCGAAGGTCTCGTTCCGAACAACTACGTCGAGGAGGTAAGCTCTCATTCCCTGGCTCGATAGTCCATGCCGATAATTCCGCCAATCCCTGGGTGTTCTTTCATCGGCTATGCGAACGATTCCCGTTATCCGGGTGTTCTCGCCTTCAGGGGTAGAGCGGGTGCGGTGGAAGGCGCGACAACACACTGTCCGGTATGAACCGTATTGATGGCTGACGCTCTCATTCCCGACTCACAGGCTCAACCTACGCACACAGCCAAGGCACTCTACGACTACACGCGCCAGACAGACGAAGAGGTCTCTTTCTCCGAAGATGCTGACTTGATTGTGTATGACACCTCCGATCCCGACTGGACGCTAGTGGGTGTCAATGGAGATTTTGGCTTCGCCCCCGCAAACTATATCGAGATCGTGGAAGATGCAGGCCACGCTGCTGCCCCTTCGGCCCCATCGCATGTACCGGATGAATATGAACCGGAACCGGAATATGAACCTGAACCTGAACCCGCGCCTCCCACGCTTCCGCAGCGACCGGTCGTGACCGCGGATGAGGTGAACGAGGCTCGCGCCCCTTCGCCAATCGACACCGTGCAGAACCCTGCTGCTGCTGCCATTGCCAATATCATCCACCAGCAACACGCCTCCCCCGTCGAGTCTGAACCACCCCGCACTGTACCTCCGCCACCTCAGCCGGCGCGTCCGACATACGAACCCGAGGAGGACTATCGCAGGGAACCTTCGCCGCCGCCCCCGGCTCTTCCGCAGCGTCCCCCATCAGAATTCATCTCATCGCCTGTGCGCGTAGAGTCGCCTCGCGAGCCCGTTCAGCCCCGACATGTATCGCTCCGAAGCAATGATAGCGAGGGCCACGTGAAGGAATCTCCTCCCTACAACAGAGTGGGCCATCCTACTCCGCGTTCCCCGTCGGGTTACCATATTTATACTATCAACGAGATGGTCGAGGTCATGGGCAAGCGAAAGAAGATGCCCACGACTTTGGGTATCAATGTTGCAACGGGAACTATCTTCATCTCGCCAGAAGAAGATGGTGCAGTGCAGGAGTGGACGGCGGACAAGCTGACCCACTACTCTATCGAGGGCAAGCACGTCTTCGTGGATCTTATTCGCCCCAGCAAGAGTATTGATTTCCATGCTGGAGCGAAAGATACAGCTCGTGAGATTGTTTCCGCCCTCGGAGAGATTTCGGGTGCATACCGCGCCGAAGGACTCCGGGAGGTCATTGCCGCCGGCACCAGCGGAGGTCAGAAGAAGGGCCAGATTTTGTATGACTTCATGGCGCAGGGCGATGACGAGGTGACGGTGGCAGTGGGCGACGATGTCATTGTTCTCGATGACAGCAAGTCGGAAGAGTGGTGGATGGTGCGCCGTCTCAAGAACGGCAAGGAGGGTGTGGTTCCGAGTAGTTACATCGAGATTACAGGTACCGTCACCAGCCCGCCACCGGGGGGTGCTGAACCAGGCTTGTCCACAGTGGAGAAGAACCGCATGGAAGAAGCACGTCTCACAAAGGAGGCGTCCCGGAAATCGAAAACCGACTCGATGGCGGCGGATATGCGAAGTCCGGAGGTATGTTTCGTGCACGCCATGGCACCATTCTAAAGAAGGAAGAGATGCTAATATTGCTCTAGCGCCAGAAACGGGACAGCAAATCTAGCCACAAATCGAGTAAGTCCTGACTTGTCCGTACCAATGTGTCTACGATTGACCAAGTTGCACAGAACCCGATCCTACGAAGGTTAGACAATGGACCGACCGCACGAAGACTTTCACCGTTGAGGCCCAGTTCATCGGGTTGATGGACGGTAAAATTCACTTGCACAAACAGAATGGGATCAAGATTGCCGTGCCCATCATGAAGATGTCGGTAGAAGACCTGGAATACGTCGAAAAGCTGACTGGAGCCTCTCTGGACGAAGACAAGCCTTTGTCTGACATCAAGCGCCGTTCTCAGCGCATTGAGCCCGAAAAGACTCGAAGCTCGTCTGACGGCAAGCAGAATGGTGCTTCTTTCCAGCAGTCTGACTACGATTGGTTCGACTTCTTCCTGAAGGCCGGTGTTGGCCCTCATCAATGTGAACGGTATTCACAGAACTTCATCAAGGACTCCATGGATGAGGGAATCCTTCCGGACATCACCCCCGAAGTCCTGCGCACCCTTGGATTGAAGGAGGGCGATATCCTGCGGGTAATGCGCTACTTGGACAACATGTTTGGCCGGACAGGTGCCAAGTCTAAACTGCGTAACGTCAGCTTCGGAGGCGAGGAAGTCATCGACGAGGAAGGGGCTGGCGGCCTTTTCTCTGGTCCTGGGGGGATGCTGCGCAATAACACTCGGAAAGGCAGACCTGCACCTAATACGCCAGCAAGCGATGTGGTTGACCCGAAGGCCTTCGAGCAGAAGGATGGCTCGAAGCCTGCCGAGCGCAGTGACACTCCGCCTGCCTCTGCAACTGCGCCGGAACCATCAGTGCAAAAGGGCTTCGACGACGATGCCTGGGAAGTCAAGCAACCCAAACAGGCTCCCACCACTGCTGCTCCCGCTGCGCCGGCGACTACATCAAGCCCCCCTCCGGCTGCGTCTACACCGACTACGAGCCAACCTCCGGCTGCACAACCGCTTACAGGTGCAATGGCAGAGCTCTCTTTACTTCAGGCTCCCCTTCAACCCACCCCGGCGCCTGCCCCCGCGCCTGCGCCTCAGTCGCCGCCCGCAGCGCCACCGGCCATTCAACCTCAACCTACCATTCAACCTCAGCATACGATTCAGCCTCAGCCTACCATCCAACCTCAGCCCACTGCTGTGCCTGCACCCCAACTACAGCCGCAGGCGACGGGTGCTTCACCTAGTTTCTTCGCACAGCTCGGACAGCCACAGGCCGCTCAAGCCTTCAATCCTCAGGTAACCGGGTTCCAGTCGGCTGCAAGACAGCGTCCACAAGCGCCACAAACCCCACTGGGAGGCAATTCGTTGCTCCCACCCCCGCCTCAACGACCTCTCTCAGCCCCTCAAAATTTCCCTCAGCAGCCGAGCTCATTTGGGCTCCCTACACTGCAGCCTCAGCTGACTGGGGTTCCTCAATCGGGCCCGCAGATTGCCCCGCCGGGTCAAAGCTTGGCCGAGCTGAATCAACAACGGTTCCAGCCATCCCTGCAACAGCCTCAACCGACCGGATTCATGCCGCAAGCTCAACTCCAGAACGGGCTGATGCCGCAGCCAACCGGGTTCCAGCCGCAATCGCAATTTGGAATCCAGCAGCAGCAGCAGCAGACTGGCTATCCTGGCTTGGCACCGCAACCGACCGGGTTTGGGGGTTTCCAGCCACAGCCGCAGCAGCCAATGCAGACAGGCATCAATTCGGTCCTGCCGCCGCCTTTGCAGCCTCAACCCACTGGCATGAACGGTTTCAGCAGTATGCCATACAGTGGACCAGCTCCGCCATTGCCACCTATCCCTCACCAGCCGACTGCTACACCACTGCAGCCCCAGAAGACTGGCCCCGCCCCTCCCATCCGATTCGGTGTGAAGCATGACGCTCCTAAGAAGCTGGCCCCGCAGCCGACAGGCCTCCGAGCCAACCTTGCGCAAGCTAGTAAGTTCAGCCTTCAACAATGACCCCACACTTACAGATTTCTGACCAGTACACTACTTTCTAGCACCTACCAATCCGTTCGGGTTCTGATCCGGATATGTACATACACTTTTCTTCTTGGCGGCATTCCTATACAACCACGCTGCTCTTTCTTGCTGGCGGGAATGGCATGCACATCGCGCATAGACGATGCCGCTTTTATCTAATTCCCTCTTTTCTGCGACTCCCACCGCTACTACGCGTATGGGACGTGGCTTGGTCCGTCAGATATATGCAATGAGTTCAGAAGCGATGTTTCGACTCTCGCCTCCCTCACACCGCTTTCTTAGAATTTTCGTCTCGTACCCCGGTGCCGGACTCTATATGTAATTTTGGACGCTCGATGTCAGTCAGTTGTCTTTTAGAGGACAATTCTGTTTAATGTGTGAACAGCAGTTGCCCGCTCGAGAGATAAAGACTGATCGCTCGACCAACCAACCGCCTTTCTCTATATATGATTCTGGTTCCCTTTACTCTTCTCCCACCTGTTTTCATGATCGTGCTATTTGGCCCTGTGTTATGGTCTGTGTCTCTGCTTGTTTGATTGGAGGTGCTGCGTTCCCTATCCCATTTTCCTTTTCCATTGACTTGATATTGTCTTCGCAAATGTGGTTTGCTGTTTTCCGCGAAAGTCTGATTCGTGGCTACCCCCCATGGGCACCCTAATCTGGTTTCTCCCTTGCCACGCTACCATCTTTGCCATTCATGTACGGTACATATAGGTTGTGGTCCGACAGAATATGGAATATTGTTCATCTACCAACGACTTGAGATGATTGATCTATTGTATGGTACGGTAGGCGGCATATCCGTCAGTCAGTGGCAGATGCTTGACCTGGCCGATCTGCCGTCTTCCCGTGTGGCGTTCCCGCCGATAACCATAACTATAAGTAAACAAGTCTGGTTCTGGTCATCACTTAGTTTTCTTAGCTTTCTTTCCATACATAGACGTTTCAAAGACTGGTTCTGCTTTCAATGCTATATACATCAGGTATCTTGTCTCTGCTACCTGAATTGCGACACGACCATCACATTCAGGGGTTTACATGAGATCGGAGGGCCACGTGAGCCCATAAAAAGAAGATATAGTGGAGGTCTTTAGAATTACATGCCCTCCGGAGAAGTTGAACAATTTTGGAGTCATGTTTCGATTTAAGACATTTCAAGACAGAGCTTAAATCTGACAGTGGTGACACCTGCAGCTGCACCCGAGTCCCTGACGACAATACCCAAATGACTTGAGTTTATTATCCGTAGCAACTACAGCTGAGCTGCTTGACTTGCCCTATTAACTTTGGGCGCCATCCGGTTTTTCGAGAAGGCTGTTGATCAACAAGCCGACTCTCATTCGCTGAATTTCCGTTCTTGTAAAGTGTCATTGTCATTCATTTCTGGTGCTTTGCAACTGTATCTCACTCCATGTTTTCTTTTTTGAACCACGCCAATTCACTCCACTCCTGTCCGATTGCTAGCAATCGCAAGATCGACAACGACAACAACGACAACAACGACAGAAGAAGAAGAAGAAGAAGAAGAAGAAGAAGAAGAAAAGCAAGATGCGCTACACATACATCACCCTCGCCCTCGCCCTCGGCAGCATCGCCGCCTACAGCCCCGACTCATGGACCTTCGGATACGGCTTCTACTTGGGCCCCCCGGCCCACGGCCAGATCACCAAGGCCACATACTCGATCGCCGCGCCCGGAGTCCCCCAAGGGACGACGGTGAAGGACCCCCGCGACGAGGTCTGGACCTCCATCTGGATCGGGGTGTCCGCCACGCAGGGCGACGCGAGCAACAGTCTCTATCAGCCGTTGTTCAATTGGTCGCCGGACCAGAAGTCCCAGTATGTTTACTTTTCGGTTCTGCAGTGTATCTATGGTATGGTGTTGCTGGGATTTCTGTCCCTGTGTCTACGATATTGTATTGCCGGGATTTCTGTCCCGGTGTGTATACTGTTGTTAAGATGAGGCGAGAAGTGTATGTGTGGAGAGACGCTGATATGGCGTGTGGTTTGTGTGGAACGTAGGGGCTGTTCGGCTGGAGCGGAGGAGTGGTGCGTGGCTGCTAGTACGTATACTTCGGGTGAGTGTCCCTGGCCCGTTTCTCTATGTGTCTCTGCAGAATCCCAGAGAGTAGATGGCTAAGTGAATGGAACCCATACTAGCCGGCCAAGTTGCGCAGCCGTACGTCCCCGTGGCGAAGGATGCGCCGGTCGATTTCGAGAGTCAGTTGACCCGACCCACCTTTTCCATCTACACGTTTGGCCTGCGTCAGCGAGAGAGAGCAACGAAATGCCTCCGAACTGACCACCACCCTCCAACCATCGGAGCTCACCCAAGAGAAACAGTCACCGTCCAAAATCAGAACCAAGTCCACCAATCCGTCCGCATCGCCGACACCCTCGTCTCCCAGCAGACCGACCCCCTCACCAAACCCCTGCAGTACCTCTACTCCGCCGACGAATGCTACACCGGGTCGGGCACCTGCGGCTCGTTGCCGGGCTATAGTGCGTCCCTTGCCTTGCCTGCTCTTGCCCTGTTCTCCTCTCTCCTCTCTTTCCTTTCTTCTATGCTCCAGGGCGAAAAAAAAGGTGACTTCCCAGATAGCTGATGAGCTCCTGCATGCTAGGCTGGACCAATATTACCATCGTCCTCAGCGAGGCTGACCCGCTGTTCGGGCAGACCTTGTCTTTGGTGGGCGCGACGAGTAGTCCTCGCGGCTTCTTGACCGCGGATGGGGGCAGTGTGTGGCATGCGGAGGTGGTGGGGATTTCCGTGGATGATTTTGGGGCTACGCATTAGGGAGGTTTCTTTCTTTCTTTCTTGGGTTAGGTTGTGGGGTCAGGGGGGAAGGGGTTGATTGTGGGGTGTGGTGGGAATGATAGAGAGTTGCGAAGGGGGTGAATGCGGGGATTGGGCTTTGTTGGGGGGGCTTGTATACGATATACAATTCGCTGTATAGAGTGGAAGACTGGGTGGAGGCGTGGCGTTTGTGTCGTTCTCAGATGTCTTGTCTTGTGATTTCTGCCCCTAAAGGCTCGCAGGGTTGGCTGTTGCTGTTGGGATTAGATTGTATGGAGCCAGCATCAGGGCTCCAATGGACCTACAGCCGAGCCTGACGCTGTTTTAATATCACATGATATTCCAAACAGGAGGAGACGGTGCCTCTATGTAAATGCATGGATTCGCTATCTGCATGAAGGTAGGTATGTACAGACAGAAGTAAAAATAAAGAGGATATACATGGAATCGACCCCAAGCTAATCGTCTGAACGCCAGGTTCCAGATCCAAAAACGCCAGAAGATGGGAGTCGGGCATGCTATGTTCATGAAGATGTCGTAAATAACCTGTCCCAAGAGACAGGTGGTAAAAGTGATGGCGAACGTGTACATTCGATAAGGTGTACACCGAAAAAGATAACCTCCCCAAATCTAGGCGTCTTCCCAGAGACCAAACACGGGAAGATCCTCAGCCATATACAGAAGGCCATTGTCCGGCATAATCACATCAGACAGCGGCGTATGGCCACCCGGGACCTCAGAAGGCAAAGCGCCAGACGGGATGGTCCCGCCGGGGGATGAGCCAATGGGAATCCCCGTCGTGGTGAGCGTCGAAACGGCCGTATCGTATGGAAGAGGAGGTGCGCCCTGGGTGCCATACAGGGTCTCCCAAATGTCGTTATCCACTTGGCCTGGAGCCGCGGTGGTGGCCGTAGTCATGTTGGAGGGATGAGGTAGTGTTGGTCCCCCGGCCACTTTCTCGGGAGAGAGCGGTGACAGGACGGCTGCTGGATCGCCGCGTCGGCTTGACGGAGTATTGGCATCTGCTGCGGCCGAGGGCTCATCCGAAGTGCCGACCTGGCCGAAAAGCTGGTCCACTTGACGACTACGGCGCTCCATCCACTGACGATTTCGTCGACGGACATACTCGGCCACCGCCGCGCGGAGATACTTGATGATCTGGTAGAAGCGACATGCATGAGGATCATGCGGCACGAACAAGCCAAGAAATCGTTCGGCCTTTTCCATCCCCTCCTCCAACGGGAGTAGGTTGTCGTAGTCTGCAAAGAATGCTGCGCCTAGCACCACAGCTGAGTTGAAGACGGAGTTAATCAGGAAGGGCAACCGGCGAGGGAGATTGCTGTAACGAGCAAGACCATCCACAATGTTGAGACCTCGTAAGGCTGAGTAGACGCATGCATCGGCAAAGAGTGCGATCCGAGAATTGGTGGTCCTGGTGTCGCCGGAGCTTGTAGAATCAGATTTACTTCGCACATACTGCGAGACCCGAAAAACAAGAAACGGACGAGTCAGAAGAATGATCGACCAGTAGTACGACCCGAATACATGCGCTGCGGCTAAGGTTTCTTCTAGATTCTTTGATTCTAGCCGTTCTGTCTGCACCTGCAGAAACATAGGCAGGTTACGGACCCAGGTTCGATGTTGGTTCGAGATAGCATCAGCCACGGTGAGCGATACTACCTGCCGCATATAGACTTCGGTCAAAATCCGTTCGAAGATGCGGCACAAAGAAACGACGGTCATAGATAATTGTTCTTCGGGTTCGAGACGCTGTTGATCCGCCGGAAGACCATCGTCGCGAAGGTCATAATCGAAGTCCAAGGTAGCCGGCGGCCGTCCTAAAGAGGCACTGAGGTAAAGGTCCATCATACGAAGACTCTTCCAGACGCGCTCGCGGGCCCGTCGCTCCCGAGTGCAGAACAGCGAATTGGCATCTTTCCTATGGATACCAACCGCATATGCCGCCCGGAGCGCGATGCCAAGGTTCATGAAGGCGCCATTGCGCCGACACGCACCTAGCATGTACATGGATATCAAGACATAGGATTGAATAGTGTAGATACTGGGGGTTTCGGTGAATGCAGAGAACGCTAATTGACGTCCACTGATGAAGTATTGTTCTGCCAGGGTCTGGTTGGTGTCTGACACCTGTGCGCCAATTGCGAGCACCAGGTAGAAGATCGAGCTGACCGTGTCTTCGTCACCAGTAGGGTTTCCCACCCAGTTGGCAAGGCGCGGGTGAAATTCGTTGAGATCAAAAAGGTCTAGCAGTGGGCTGGTAGCAAGAACGTATTGACGCGCCAACCGCTGGGCCTCCTCGTTGCTGGGAGGGGCGATCAAGGGCCCTGTCTGTGTCGAAGAACTATTTTGGAAAGCCTCCAGCATTGAATGTCGCGAGTTATCTTCCGTGAAATCACAGCGGCCGATCGACGAGGAGACGATGCGACGGACGCTCTGCAAGAAGGATAAGCTTGCAGAATCACCAATGTACATGAACTTTCCCTGTCCGTCACGCAAAAGCCTAGCCACCTTTGGCACCGGCGCTGTGCCATCCTTATCGTCCGCCACCTGTTGTTCCAATGTTGCACTACGGTCTTCGAGCGAGTTCAGAAGTCGGTCCATGGCCGTCTGCCGCTGCGGGGTTGGGACGAGGTGTTCGCTGAGAAGCATGGTCTCTTTGGGGGTGTTGCTTGGCTTGAGCAAGCGGGCGGGCTTGTCGGAGAAATGACATTCGGATTCTTTGCGACGTTGGACGCAGATTGTACATGGCTGCTCTCCGTTGCATTTCTGCTTCCGTCGCTTGCAACTATCGCAAGCTCTCCTGCACCGGAGTCGAGCACCGGGAGCCGTGCTTGCCCGCGGCATAATGAAGCATGTATTCAGAGGAGCTTGAATCGAGCCGTCGAGGGCGCGAGATGGCGCTAAAGAAAGGATGCAAGGCAGGCAGGCAGGCAGGTAGAAAAAAAGGTGAGGATCCTTCTAGGCTCTAAGCGTAAGCAGTAGGCTAGCTAATTAGATCGGCTAGCGATGGGCTTAAGCTGGAAACCCAAACTAAACTAGTCAATAGTGGCGTGCAACATCTCCTGTTCGCTAGCTCGGGCAATCCTCAGAACCAGTGGGACGCGTGAAAGCTTGCTGTGAAGCGAGATCGACACCACAGGCAGCATTGCCTTTTTGTTTTCCCCGATTTGCGGTGGAAAGTTGGGAAAGTTGGGGGGGGTTCGGCGGAGGAGAGGAGCATTGAACCAGACGGAGAGAAGAGGGGGGAGATGGATCTTTCCGTGCATGACTCAGCTGCACGATGCGAACTTGACTGCATCGGGTAATGACGTGCGCTCCCCCCGATCAACTTCTCCTTTACCTCCGAGCTGGAAATCTCCCACTAATGGAGACGTCCAAGTACAATTTGCACCAGGACAATGATCCCGACCAGATGCACGTACATTAGTTCAATTTGACTACTACTACTATGTCAATACCCTGATTGGCCACGCCACCAACCTCACATGACACTCATTACTCAGGTCGGAAAGAGACAATCTTTCCCCAAGTGTCGGCCGTGCCCCAAATCCCATGGCGCAAACACGATAACTGCACAATCTGACTGTGGTCGACAAACAAGTTGACATCAATGCCGAATTCTCGAATGTACCAGTTGAAGACCTTCGGGTCTGCTGCCTCGAACATGACGCCTTCCGAGGGAAGCTCTTTCATGATCTTCGATACCACATCGGTCCGCCACGATCCCACATTCTCGGTGATGCCCTCCGACTCGATCATCAAGCGCTCGACGCCTGCGTCGAGGAATTTCCGGCCCAGGTTCACCAACTTCGACGGATCAGACGTGCCTATAGCTTCCAGCCCTGCCGCGGGGGTGTCGCCCCCGGCACCGAACTGAATCCCTAACTCGGGCTTCGCTTTCAGCTTGTAGGAGTGGACCTTGTCAACGAGGCGGAGCCAGTCGTCTTCGGGGATGGATAAGAAGCCCGATGAGAGCTCGATGACATCGAACCTAGAGTAGAGAGAATGGATCAGATGTGTTGCAGAGACGAGGTAACTGGGCTTGTTTACTTGGGAGTATACGCACCCAAGGTCCTTGCACTTGCGAAGGTACTTATCAAACACGGCGTTTGCATCGGGATGAGTGAGTAGATGCTCAGCCCAACCGCCCTAAGGAGTGTTTAGCTAGCTTCCAGGAAGACAACAGTATCATCTATCCCGGCTTACTGTGGAGACATAGACTCCGTGGTCGTGAGCGAGATCAATTAACTCCTTCAAAGGCCTTTCTGGGAAAAGAGAGAATGACCCTATTTGACTGGCTTAGCCTCTATCGTCCAGGAGCAAGCTGAGTAGCTGGAGCTGATTACCTCCTGCAAACTTCAAGCCGTCCACATGTGTTCCCATGCTTTTGGTGGTAGTTGTCAGCAGCAAAATCTCTCCAATGCCTACACGGTCGAGCGGCTCACGTCTCCAGCACATCTGCTAGGTATCGTTTCCCCATGGCCTGTACTTCTAATCAGCTCCTTATGGGTCCTTAGAAGCACACGACACTCCAGATATGCTAAGGACTAAGGCTGGATAACCGGCATACAGTATAGTATGGGCCCCTGATTTCGGTAACACCCTTGGTCCTCGGTTTGGGTGGTCTGGGGTTTGACCGTGCAAACCCGAATCCATTCTTCTTATCCTGGAGCAGCGTGATCTCTTTTTTTGCCGATGTGGATGAAGAATAACATCTTGTGGGCAGTACCGGCACCGAGGCTGAGGCGCTGGGAAGCTGTCGCAACGCAAAATTGATATTACTTCGCAAAGTGGAGGCAGGAGCGACGCGAGGGAGCGGTGCAAACATATTGAGGGTGAGTACTGATTATACAGAAAGACTAAAGCTATGTGTTGCGAGACAAGAGGAGTAGGGAAGTGGATTTCTCAAGAATCAATTGTGTACGGGCTTTTGGTTGCATTGAAGATTGACGTAAACAAGATCTCATCCTCCTCCTGGGTGAGAGGCATGGCGTGATTGGCTCGAGGGCATGTCAATCAATCAATTGTGTGGGGGTTTCTCTACCTAACGTACCCAGTAAACACCGATCCAAGAGTTCTGGGATCTTTGAGTCTAGAATGGGAGAACGCAAATCCTCGGACAAAGGAGCACAGTGTAACGAAAGTGGGGGGTGGTTTAACAATAGCAGCTAACGCTAGCATGACGTCATCAGTAGGAGACAAGTCCTCGGTCAATTTCCTGGCCCTGGAGGAAAGATGCTCCTTTTAATGATTTATAAATCATCAAATGATAACTAAGGACCAGAACTTAATGAAGCTATCCCAAATCACAACAAGTACTTCTCACGAGAAACAAGCTTGTCTCTCCTGCTGCTATGCTGTACTTGGCAGGCACCCTGGATCATCAGGGCGGGTCAATCCCTTAGTTTGAGAGTCTCCATTAGTCAGTAAGGCCGACCGAAGGGTCTTTCAACGGATTCGGATCTAGGCCGCGGCGCTGAACCTTGGTGGTGAGCCGGTTTTGGCAATAAAACCAGTTGGAATCATGGATCCGATTCACTGCACCGTTCTCAGGATGGAACCACTTAACTACTCCGTAGCTAGTTAGGGATACCCGCTGACTGAGCTTCACTTGCACGGAGTTCGGCGTCAGCGGAAACTGGGAGCGGACGAGCTGAGTTCCGGGTGCCGACACTGGACATTATTAATGCACACAAAGTCTTAGTTATGACGGACCTTGGGGAATTTGCCAATTCGGAGGTATTGGCGGCTTGGCTTGGGCGGGCGCTCGGAAGCGGACCAAGTGGCTCCAGCCGTGGCCGATGCGAAGACTCATGCTAGGCGCTAAGCACGGGTTTTTTTTTCCTTCTCTCGTACGTAAAGTACTTGGTCGGACCGCTTCAGGCGAGTACAATAATTAAGCTCATAATTTTATACCGGTGATATGAGAATGCCGACTCAGTCGTTGAGCAAATCTGATGTACTGAGCAATGTTGACTTGGGCGGACATGAGTATATACAGTAAGTAGGAAGAGTGCGTACTGTACCGTGTACCAGTCAGTACACTGTTGGGCAAGACAAGGCTGGACAAGGCTGAACAATCCGGGGAGGTGATATTCACTGATCGACGCATAGGCCTCTCTCTGCTACTGGGTCGGGTTTCGTACACGCTTGCAACCTTCAAATATGGACGATACTACTGCTATACGAGATACATATATGTAGAGGCATGCAATGCTATGACGAGGATTGAGGAGGATAACAAATCAATAATCAGCGCCGACCGGCTTATCGACTCTGGGATAACCCAGCTGTGAGTAATCAGAATTGAAGGGAGACCCTCCATCCCGTGACCATGTGATGTCTTACCTGGTTTGGGGAAAGAAAGCAGCAGTGCCACAGGTGGTGGGCAGCTCAGTGCTGGTGCTGCAAGATCCCGTTCCACCAACCATTGGTTGTTTCCCTTGTTTTCCTCGGTTTGGTACTACTAGGTAGTGGGGCGACCAGCTTCCATTCTGTAATGAGTATTACTAGTCAATACCGAGACGATACCTATAAGTACTTCTCCTACAGGGAGGTACTTGGGCTGACCATCCATTCACAACATACTCAGTTGGAGATTTGTTCACCGCTGAACTACCCGAGGTGTGTTGGCCATCATCATAGATGGATCATACAGTCACTCCAGCGTAGTTGTGATCATATTTCGAGTAGTTCTTAGTAGTTCTTCAGAGCAAGCTTGAGATTCATGAGCCCGTACAGTAAGAGAGAGATATGACTTGTACTTTTTGCTGACCATAGAAGGTGAAATCTATCACAATCTCTTCACTCGAACTAGGACGAGCCAGTCATGTACAAATACTACCATGCCAAGGTAGACTATGGTCTGGAAACCCGATGTCTCAAAAGAGAAGAAAAGAAAAGAAAAATAACACCCGGCTTCCGGTAGCTCCGATAACTCCAAACCACTAATCTATAGCGGTCGCCTGCTTTCCTTGGTTGCCCTTCCCTGGCTCCAGCATGTGTTAATTGTCACGACATATGCACAGAATAGCTACCGGTCAGGCAGGCCTCCGTGAGCAGGTCTCGTTATTGAGCTTCTTTCACCTCGCATGGTTCCTCTTCTTCTTCCCCCACCCACCCCCCCCTCCCCCCCCACTCGAAATTTGACTAGGTCCAAGTACTGTACTATCTCGCCAAGTTCAAAGCTCTTTCTTACCTTTTGACTTTCTTATACTTAAAATCCTAAGATACTTAAAGCATGGACTTGCCCTGAACCAAGAGGAAGTGGGCAGAATACGTAAGTGGAGGTTAGGTACCTACATGAATACCCTTCCCGTACATACTGTGCATACATACATAACCAGCGTCTCAACCAGCAGGTAAGCGTGACATCTTTCCCAGTTTCCTTTTCCCATCCCTCTCTCATCTTACGTCTTACCTCGCTTCGAATCCACATCACCTTCTCTCAGCTTGCCTCCCTCGATACCTGTACCTAAAATGCTAGCACCCTCTCTTGCAACTTAACTTCTTTTCTCTCAGTCGCTCATACTATCACAGCCGCTCATCCTCTCGAACCACGACACTCCCTTCCTCCATCCGCCTCGCCTAGATTCTTAGTCTTAGTTCTCTCCCTTGGTCCTGGATCATTCTTCCGCCACTAGCCAGACCAGCGCATTCCTTTTCCGCTTCCATTCATCATGGGCGTAGGGGCCATTCTAGAACCTCTGACCGTCATCGTCCTCCTCTTCGGAGGCACTTGGATCAACCGAAGTACAGGGTCATTTCCTCCCCGGAGACCTCGTCGCACTTCCAATGTCGTTTCGCGTGATTCCTCTCCTGGCGCAATCGAGTCCGGCGTCTCTACCCCCACTGTCAAAGATACTCTACTAAACCGCCGTTCTTCATCTTCTTCGTCGCTCCCGCAGCTCGGTCAGACTGGTTGGCGCAAGAGACAGATCGGGCTCTTTAACTCGACCTTCGAAGTCACGTCTCCAGACACCACTGTTTTTCATGATCGGTTACTCAGTCGCTTGCTCCGCAAGTTTCCCTTTCTTGTCGAGTGCTGGTACTGGGCGCTTGTGTACTGGGTATGGTTGAACCTGCATTCCCGCTCGCGACTCAGACCGGAAGACTAACCTACTGGATACAGACATATCAGTTGGGTCGCGCGTTCACTGCTGTTACTCTCAAAGATGATACAGTCGATGTGGCGCGCAAACATGCACTGCGATTGATACAGATTGAGGAGGCACTGGGCTTGTTTTGGGAGGTTTCCATCCAAGAATACTTTCTTCGTCATCCCACTCTCATGACCTGGACCAACTGGATCTATTCGTTCATCCACATTCCTGGAACAATCGCCTTTCTCGTCTGGCTGTACTATTTCACCATCACAAGGAACCGATCCGACGAGTCGCAACCAGGAAAACCGCGCGGGCTAGTGAGCGGCTCACCCGCGGGGTCTCATCTATATCAGGCCCGGCGCCGAACTCTTGCCGTGTGCAATCTGCTTGCCTTTGTGGTTTTCACTCTGTGGCCCTGTATGCCGCCTCGTCTGCTGAGCGACAAAGATGCGAAGGGGCCCGACGCAGCCTTGGGCCGTAGCTACGGGTTTGTTGATACTGTGCATGGAGTCAACGGCGCGGGCAGCGTCTGGACCGAGAATCGCTTCTGCAATCAGTATGGTAAGTCTTGTGGTCTTGAAGACCAGCTAGGCGTCCTGGGCTATTTCAGAACAACGTCACTGACTGTGTGCTAGCCGCCATGCCTTCGTTACACTTTGGCTACTCCCTCATGATTGGTCTCACCATCATGACCATCCCGCTGCCGCCACATCAGCGTCGCCGCACCCGCGTGGCCATTGGTCCTTTGAAGCTGCAGCTTCCTTCGTGGCGTCGGCTGGGCTGCCTCGCTCTGGGCTTTGCCTATCCTTTTGTGATCCTGGCCGCTATCGTCGCCACCGCGAACCACTTCATCTTGGACGCGATTGCCGGTGCAACGGTATGCGCTCTCGGATGGAGATTCAACGGAATCCTCTTGAATCTGCTACCCCTGGAAGATTACTTTCTGTGGGTGGTTCGTATTCACAAGCCAGCATCGAACACCACGGACGGACTCGAAGACGCAGTCGGCTGGGTCGACGATGGCATTTCCGAACACACCTCTCTCCCTTAATGCAGCGACAGTCGGGAGGTGATCCCCTCCTGCCCACTTTGCCTGTCCTAGAGCTTGATGATACCCTTGCATATGCAACATTAATGTCTATGAACCCCACTCCGAACCATGACCTCGATGACTCCCTGCTAATATGCTTCCTCGATTTATTATTTGGCCGTATCATTACGTCCATCATGTCACTGCAATTGACGCAGTCCTTACAGCGTATACACAAGCATCTTTAGGAAATAATGCAAGTATGAATACCTGATTATTTTTCCTTTTTCTTTCTTTCTGTGTGATTGTACGAGTTTAGACCTTAAATAAGCATGATTGGCGGTAGTCAAGTGGTTCTGCGCAGATGAGTCGAGTGGAATCTCCAAGTACTGAAAGTTAATCATATCTCCAGCGCCCGTAACGTGTGCTATGGAGGAAGAGTGGTGGGGTTGATACCACGGTATCTTTCGGGCTCACCTGGCAAAGTATATAAGGGTATACGGAACAGGATAACGAAGACGGGTCGCTTCGTCTCTGCAAGTGAGATCTCGACGTCCATCTGAGTGAAGGCTCCCGAATTAAAAGTGAAAGACCGCAAGTTAGTGGTGAATTGGTGGATCGGAGTGGTATCAAGGGGAAAGGAGGAGGGAAAGTGTGAAGGAACAATGCGTGTGTACTTTGTATTGTCTGGGGAGGGCGATTTCTCCATTCTTGACTATCATGGATTACTACTACCAACTCAACTACTTGCTCTTCTTCTACCCTTTCGCGCACTCACACCCAAACCCATCACTCCTTTTCTCCCTTGTGATTGTCGAATTAATTCCACATCAATCATCTCGGTAGATAGAGATAAGACCTTTTTGTCTTTGTTGCGTGAGCAGTGGTGGGTTTCCCTGCTCTCTACCTTGCAGAGCAGATCCTTGCGACCGCGGGGTTTCTCGGTGTTGCTCGACGTCCTCTTCGCGTTCAGTCGCTCTTGGCTTGACGAGGGTGCCACCAGGTCAGTCCGCAACCTCCCTATAACTCCTGCATCACCTTCTAAACTCTTCCACCAGATTTCATCACTGTCACTTGCACCCGAGTGTTTGGGTGTGCCGAGGGAGGCAGTAATCTACAAGTTTAGTCAGACTGGGGAGGGACTCCCCAACTGTCACCAGCAGCGATTCCGTCTATATCCGGTCGCATCGACTATTGAACTCCAGCAGAAGGACCACCACCACCACCTAGTTTGAACACGACCTTATCCGCGTGTTGTTGTTGTTGTTGTCGTGGTTGTGTTGAAGGTAGTAGTGCAGCAGCAACTGTGGTCTACAGGCAGCTGGCAGATCGTCTCGTGCCGCTGGTGGTGTGCGTGTGTGCTCGCGTCACAGTCGTGAACCGGCAGAATTCCCCCTGACACGATCGTCTCTCGACCACTAATTACCATCCTGTCTGAAGCGCGATAGCTTCATTTACACCTATCTCTCTTTCAAAGCCGTGTTGTGACCTCGGGTGCCGTGACCTCGGGAAGAATCAGTGACTAGCACTCGACTACTCCACTACAAGCACAGCGTTTCCAGCAGCTTATCCAGAGAAAGCTTTATTGATCCAGATAGAGTCTATCTGATTGAAAGCCGAACCTGAGCGACCGACTGTTGTGGTTGATCTCAAGTCTTGAGAAGGTTGTGGCTGTTGAAGTGTTTGCGTCATTTGCGGTCTGCAGTGTGTCGCTTTCCCTTCCCCCCAAGAAGTGCAACGCGTTGTTCGACTTCCCGCCTCCCGGCGTCGCGACCTTCTCCACCACTTCTCTCTCTCTCTCTCTCTCTCCCTCACTCACTCACCTCACTCTTCCCCCTCCCCCCAACCAAATCCCACTTCAACCTCCCCCCCCCCTTCCCACCCCATCTCATCCTATCATCGGAAGGTTCTTGTTATCTCCATCTCCTACTGATCTATTATCTCATCCGTCGATTCGTCATCTGATCCCTAGCGCATCATGGCCGAGGAGTCTCCTGCTGCCTCTGCGCCCGCTCCCGAAGGTGCTGAGCCCGTCGAGCGCGCGCCTGCCGAGACCCAATCCACTCCTGTGGACTCGGCGCCAGAGCAGTCCAAGGAAAAGGAAGGGAAGGAACCCAATGGTTCGGATGAGAAGTCTTCAGGTAAATACTCGTCTGATCTTGGTTTGCGCTGGCTTGGTTCTCGACAAGGGATCTCCAACCAAGCTAAGCCCCCGTATATGTGACACTCTCTAACATCTCCCATCAACCACGTATAGAGTCTGCGTCTGCTTCTGAGGAGAAAAAGGAGACAACTGAAGCTGAAAAGCCCACCACCCCCTCTGAGCCTGTCGACGCGAAGGAACCCGCCGATGGCGCAGCCGCCCCTGCAGAGCCCGAAGCCAAAGCCGCCCCAGCATCGGAGGCCAACGGAACACCCGCCTCGGCCAAGAAATCATCAGCCTCACGGCGCAAATCTACCGGAGGTTCATTGAGCAGAAAGAAGTCGCAAGTTCGCGTCCTGCACCTCGACGCGAAACCTGGTGATTATTTCCTCGCGCGTCTGAGAAGCTACCCACCGTGGCCTTCCATTATCTGCGATGAAGAGATGCTTCCCCAGACTCTGCTGGAAACGCGTCCCGTGACCGCTCAGCGTCAAGATGGAACCATCAGAGAGGACTACGCTGAAGGCGGCAAGCGCGCGCACGAGCGAACTTTCCCGGTCATGTTCTTTGAGACAAATGAATTGTGAGTAACACTTGGCGTTTCTGCCTTACAATTGTGCTCCCTCCACCGTGATCTGTCTAACACCGCTTTAGCGCCTGGGTCCCCAACACAGACCTGACCCCTCTCGAGCCTGCCACCTGCAAGGAAGTATCAGAGAAGGGCAAGAGCAAATTGTTGCTGTCTGCTTATGCCGTCGGTGCTGAAGGTCACGATCTCCAGCATTTCAAGGAGCTTCTGGCCGACCACCAGCGTGCGCTTGAGCAAGAACATGAGGAGATGGAAGCTCAGGCAGCTGCGAAGGCCGCTGCTAAAGCTGCCCGAGAAGCAAAGAAGAACAAGCGCAAGAGCATGGACGTCGTTGACGACGAAGATGTCGAGATGGAGGATGCTGATGAGGAGGAACACAAGCCGAAGAGCTCCAAGAAGCGGAAGAAGGATGCTGAAGCTGATACTACAGCGGATGAGAAGGTGAGTCAGGGGTGGTACATTCGAACGATGCAGCGACAGGTAACACCAGCTAACGATTTTCCTTCGCGGTGGTTATTAGCCCGCAAAGACGCCCAAGACTACCACTAAATTGAAGTTGACGACACCCAAAACCCCGACCAATGAGACTGGAAAGAAAGCTCCTGCTTCTAGCAAGGCCAAGCAAACCGCCAGCACTAAGAAGGCTGGCAAGGCTGCTGCAAGTGACGAAGGCGAAGATTCTCGTCCGGCTTCCAAAGAACCTGAGAAGAAGGTCAATCAGGAGGAGCTCAAGGAGAAGAAGGAGAAAGAGAGTAAGTGCCCGAAATGCAAGATCGTGTTTAGCGGAAGATGTGCTCACACCATGTAGTTCTTTTCATCCGCCACAAGCTTCAGAAGGGTTTCATCTCCCGTGAACTCCCACCCGCAGAGGAAGAGATGACCGCCATGTCGGGTTACTTCAGCAAGCTGGAGAAGCACACTGATCTGGAAGTGTCAATCATTCGTGCGACCAAGATCAACAAGGTGTTGAAAATGATTGTGAAGCTCAGCTCGATTCCTCGGGACGAGGAATTCCAGTTCCGGCAGCGCGCCATCAACATCTTGTCCAAGTGGAAGAATGTTCTTGATGCTGACACCACCGGTCCTTCCGAGCAAAAGGAGAAAGAGGACAAGCCCAGAGCGAATGGCGTTCACAAGGAGAGCAGCGTGGAGACGCCCGTCAAGGCCGATACTGAAAACGAGAAAGAAGATGAATCTAAGGAGAGCAAAACGAATACCGCGGAGCCCCAGGACGAGCCGATGACTGATGCCGATGTAAGGGAGAAATCGGATGCCCCCGAGCCGGTGAAGGAGGATGATGAGAAACCCTTGAAGGCCGAAGAGACATCGGCAGAGAAGGAAGAGGAGAAGACAGCCGAAGAAAAGCCGGCTGCAGAGGCCGTGAAGACAGAGGAGAAGTCTGCGGAGGCAGCTGTTTAAAGAACAAAAACCATCTTTGTTTATGGGTGTCTCTTATTTGCTTTCCCGCTGATTTTCGCAAGGCTTTTCTGAACATCCTGTTTCATCTGTGCAGGACCTCTCCTACTATTTAGCATTTGGGTCCTGTGTCGTCACTGCTTCTTATATGTCTCTACAACCCCCTCTCTGTTGCTTGTTATCCACTCTACCATTTCTTGTTTTGGAATTCCATTGCCCACGAGAGTCGAAAATTGACAGCGAAATCAAAACTAGCCGTTGAACGTGCATCTCTCTCTTGCGCCCGTGATCATCTGATTTGGATCTTTGCTCCTGACTTTTGTACATTTTCTTCCGAAAGCTTGCTTATCTGACTTCTCCGATCCGAGTAAGACTCAATCAACTACATCAAATCCGACTGGTGGGTTTGATAAGAAGTCGCGGAAGATGAACCTGAGGCTGCACCGAAGTCTCATCGTTCGCTCCCAAGCGCATTTCATTTGATTATCCGACATCTTGTGCTGTTCTTGGGCTAATCTCGCCCTATTTCCCCAGAGACCTGTTTTTGCTTGATTCTTTCTCCCTCTCGCTGTATGAGCTTGTCCTTTATGAAATGATCTTATTGCTGTGGGATGAGGGCTTCCATTGCATCCAGTTGTCTCTCTTTGCGCGGGGTGGGTGGATGGTGGTGTGTTCAGACCCACCCCATGGTTTTCTTTCTCTGTGCGGGGTCTTGTTCTTCTACCTGGGTCTTGTTTCAGGATTTCGATAGTGAGTTCGATTTTGTCTTTCCCCCAAAGGGAACATGGTGTGTGTGTTTGTGTGTGTGTGTGTATGCAGTCAATTGTTTTTAAGGTTTAATTCCTCAGCCCAATGAACTCGGATTTGTTTCTTCTTTGACGCCTGTCAAACATCTAGAATACAGATGCTGGCTCTATTGGAAATGGCTGAGATACAATGAATGGCACACTCTCCGCCCAGAAGAAGATGCCGT